TGCGCAGAGCTCTGCTGAAGAGCTATAGCATGAGAAAAAGACCCTGTATTTGTTCTGCATAACGCAAGCAAATTTAATAACATGCTTGCACTGTGTTTGCTTGAAATTTGTCTCTGGTGTTTCCATAGATGAGATACCAGGAGACAAAAATGTCAGGAAAGCATATTGTGCATTGTGTGTGTGCAGTGGTGTATCCTGGTTTTGTGCTGCCCTAGGCATACCAAAACTGTATTTAATTCTATATACAGTGTCACCATATAATGTTGTCATAACATATGCACTTTAATGTGTAACTATCATAAAGTGGAGTTTTTGTATAGCTCAGTAACAAAATGTTAGGTATGAGTTTTTTCTTTTTTTTGTTTGTTTAAAAAAAAAAAGTATGTTTTTTATTTACATTGTATGTCAGATTGTCCTTGCACAGCCAGTATGTGCAATGCAAATGTACCTGACCTCCATGATGCCATGAGAACACAAATATATGGCTCTATGGAAGGAATGTCCAAGTATTCATGAGTTCATACAGCATGTTCCAAAAAGCTGCCCAACCTCATATGCGCCTGCAGGGCCGCAATCACAGTTGTTTTGAGCCTGGTGGTCATAGGGGGCCAGACTGCTTAGGGAGACTCTGTGAAAGAGACACAGACAGGTCAATGACAGACACAAATCAATGTCATATGTTGTCTTCAATAGTTCTAAAGTTTACCGTCTGCCTGCATCATTAGACACCGTGAACCATAAGGATTACAGATCAATGTACTTGTTATGGTGTTTAGAGTGTCCCCTTAACTATCTCAGGAAGGGGAGAAGTATTACTGAACTTAAGCTTTGATTTTATGAAAAAGGAACTGTAAAAATAAAGAATAAAATTAAAAAGAAAACTACACAGACTATGCTAGTGACCATACAACACTAAACACAAAATGATAGATATGTCTACTAAAACTCTCAAAATAAATCAATAGTAAGAAATGCTACCTATGGAGTCGATACCAAAAAGAAAATAACAAAAAATTTGAAAAATCAAATAATCAAGGAGGAAAAAAAGAGAATCTATTAATCTTTTATCTTTAAATATGTTGTTATATATTTGCTTTTTTGATCTAGTACTATTGATTTATTTTAAAACTTTTAGTAGCCGTACCCCTCCCCTAATTGTATATCCTTGATTTTTATAAGCTTTCCACATTATTATGTTATTATTTATATAGCGCCATCAAATTCCGCAGCGCTTTACAATGGGTGGACGAACAGACATGCAGTTGTAACCAGACAAGTTGGACACACAGGAACAGAGGGGTTGAGGGCCCTGCTCGATGAGCTTAAATGCTAGAGGAAGTGGGGTAAAATGACACAAAAAGGTAAGGATAGTATTAGACTAGTGACAGTTGCAGAAGAAGAATCAGTCAGGAGCTATTAATAGTTTAATTGATACGCTTTTATGAAGAAGTGGGTTTTTAACGATTGAAGGAGTGGAGACTGGGTGAGCATCTAAGGGAGGAGGGGAGTGAGTTCCACAGGAATGGTGCAGCCCTCGAGAAATCTTGAAGGCGAGCATCAGAGGTGGGAGTACGGACAGAAGATAGACGTAAGTCTTAAGCAGATCGTAAGGGCCTAGACGGGACATACTTGTGTATAAGGGAGGATAGATAGGTGGGTGCAGCATTATGTAGCGATTTGAAAGCAAGAACCAGAATTTTAAATTGAGCTCTATATTTTATAGGAAGCCAATGTAGGGACTGACAGAAGGGTGAGGCATGGGAGGTGCGAGTCCATTCATTATGGACTGTAACGGCGCAAGTTGGGAGCACATGAATCAATACTGTTAGAAGAATTTTCCCATAGACTTTAAGGGTGACTTCTGTAGAAAAATAATTTGGACAGTTATTTTATAACAATATTAAATCATTTGGAAGCTGATTAAATTGGAGCCTTAGTTAAAAAAAAAAATACAATGTAAAAGTGTAGTGGTTTCAAACAACACATTAAAAAGATCCTTCAAAGACATATGTAAAATACAGAAATTACTTCCCAAATATGTTCTTGTTTTATTCGAAATGTAAAAAGAAAAAATACAGGGTTAGTCACTAATGTGAGATTTCAAGGTGAATTCAAATGTAAGATCAAAACAGACAAACTGGAAAAAGTGAGTTTTGTTATTAGTTTAGCTACTGTTAAATTTGAAATGTCATTTTAGTATATAACTCCTATAGGTAGAAAGATCATGCCATATGGGGTATTAATGCAAATGCCATTATATTATATACATTTGTTCTTCATATGCAAGTGTTATACATTGACTTTTCTCACCATATTTCTTGCTGTATTTTGGAAAAGTTTCCATATTTAATATATACATTTGCAGGATCTTTTTAATATATTGTGTTTAGTTTTTTTTTTTAAAAACTCCACTTTTAGTCTAGTTTTTTACATTTCTCTTTGGTAGTTATCACCAGAATATTTAGCTGCATTAAAATATCTCTAAACACCAGGAAGTTGATTAATATTTTTTCTCTGTAATCGCTGCATATAATTCTTTATATTTTTGTGAACATATTTTTGTGGTTACTTTTGCAAATGTAAGTTGCATTTTCTTTTTAATCGTTTTTATTAAATAACTAATAATGTTAAAATATTGCATGAAGCAAAATTATTAATAAGTCATAAACATTGACACACACACACACACTCTCTTTCTCTCTTTCCCTCCCTCTTTCTCTTGTCCTGATTTAATTTAGTGTCTTTTCCTAAAATGTGGATACCAGTGGCTCATTTAGCACCCCCACACATGACATTTTGACCAACATTTTGTAAAATAATAACAATTGTGAGTGTCTAATTATGTGGCTAATTTAGAGTTTATTTAGTTTATGTGCTGGATAGATGGGTGAAGTCATAGGATATAATTATATGTCCATATAAATCATATATCTATGACCTGCCCCTGAAACAATGTACATCTTTCATTACTGGACTATATCCTAGTAAGGGACAATGAGGTGGAACACATAACAAAATTTACATTATCACCAAAGCCTCCGTTTTAGATAAAGGAAAACAATGAAATCTTTTTACATATGTGACAAAACCAGACTTCTGTGGAAGGAAGTGACGTCACTGAGCTTTGCAAGATGGACAAAAGATGCCTCCTAGTGGCTTTATACAGCAAACAAAAGAAATGTGTATTGTAGCTTAATGCTATAAACCAAGGTATTAGTAAATTGCTATTTGCATGAAACACTAGCTATCTCCAAGCAGTCGATTATACTATCCCTTTAAATAAGTAATCTAACACCCAATTGGAACATCCATTCCTGTCTAGAATCTGACAACTGATTAAACGATGTTTACTGTGGTGAAACCTTTGGATCAGGCGTTGCTTTAGGGTGTATGAAAAATATGACAGGCTACAGATAACCTGAGGCAGTGATAAAAATCGATTTATTTACCCTGGGGGGTTGGGAACCTTTAATTAATAAGTATAATTAAGATTTACTACTCTGCACCTTAAATCTAATGAAACTGGTGGATTTTACACTCTCAAAGGTGGTTAGAAATGTTAATTATAAAGGTTTGTGATGTCCCATTTTTGGGTCATTTTGCCTATTCATCTTCACACTAAACTGAATTCAACTCCTACTTCTTATTAATGAGAAGTGGAAAAAAATATATACAATAATTCATACCTTGTCTCTAAATATGCAATTTAATGCGCAGCAGTCAGAGAGCAAAGAGATATTAAAAAAAAATAAAAAATAAAAAATGCTATAATGTTTAATGTTAATGTTTATTCACAAAAAAAAAAAGTTGTGAACTATTGATTGGCAAAATTAAGGCCAAAATAAGACTCCACTGAGCAAGCTGGGGGGAGGGGAGTCTGCACAGCTCACACAAAGTCACAGTTTAGTAAATAAACATCATTGAGTGTTCTTTTTAGCTACATTATGCCAGATACTAGATACATTATTATTCTTTTAAAAGATCGGCATGAGCTCACACATGCTAAAGGTGTATTTGCAACATGTTATCTTACAATCATATTTTAATGTATCACTGATTAAGTAGAAGTCAAAAAATTTACACATCCAGGGTTATTCACTGAAGTAAAATAAAAGAAAATCGAGGTGAATTCACAGTGGATTTCAAATGTAAGGCCAAAATAGCTGAACTAGAAAAATTCTCTAAATCAGAAATGCTTTCAGTTTGACTACTCTGGCCTTAAATTTGAAATTGAACTTGAATTCACATTAAATTGTCAATTTAGTGAATGACACTGATTGTATAACTATTTTATAAATATCTAAGATGACTGACAAAAAAACTCCAGATTCAAACAATTTTAGATCATTACAAATAAACTGTATATTGTATTTTTATTTTGGTTTTTGCTTTAATGTGCTGTTACATTAACAGATTATATTTATATTTGCCTAAAGTGGCACTAATAGTAGTATTAGCAGATCACATTGCACATATTTAATTTCTATTTAAAATGTCTTCCTGCTTGATTTTAGGGCACTCATTACTGGGGGTTCTTAAATCATAAACAATATATTTCTGATTTTATTTTTCAACATGAATAGCACTGTGTAATTTACACTAATATGCTATATTTATATTATTTTTATGTACTAAAATCCTACCTCTATACTTTACATTTAGATTTTTTTATGCAACATGAACTCATTTTTAACAACAATAAGGAAAAGTGATTCACTATTTGTGTATTGAACAGTTTGTAAACAGCTTAATTATGTATCTGTACAATCTTTTGTATCCACTGAGGTGGAAATCTTATTAGGAAGCGATTACAATAAGATATTTTGTTAGAGATAATATTGTCTGATCTGCAGACGTTTATTAAAATAATTAGTTTTTTTTAACACCTTTGCTTAAAACATTTGCATACAGCAAGTAAAGTTAGAATAAATTTTACTGAGACTTGGTGCCAGTGGCATATCGAAGAGGACTTTTGTTGAGACAGCACTGAAGAGTAAGCTATGGAGAATCCCATAGACCAGGACTACTTGGAAATCGATCCAGGGACAGCCGGAATGAACGGTAAGCATCGACACTTGTTTAAAACATAAGATCGCTCAGGTGAAATTATCGTAGGTTAGCTGACGATGTGTTTGAGAAAATGAATTATTAGGGGTAATTCTAAATATCTCTGTAGTTGCAGTACAACTGGGTCATATTAGAAGTGTATAACTATTTTATACTCTTTAACCTGGAATGAAATGGATAAATTTGTATCAGCATATAGCACATTTCTTATTGAATCTGAATATAACATGATCTTTCAGTTCTAGCAATTTTGATGTTTTCTGTAGTTATAGATAAAGCACTCAGAATATTATTCACTTGTCAATGTGGATTGTGGTGTTTTGTGGAGAACGATCATGCAATGTATATAGTATATGCCTACTTTGCTTGTTTAATTGTATTTGCTTGAAATCGTATGTAAGAAAGAACTGTAGACATTTTTATACTAATGTACTATGCAATGACACTCCAGGATAGATTAATTTATAAAATATGTTTATTGGTAAAATAAATGTGATATATGTACAACATTTCCAACCAGTGAATAGTCATCAGCAGATAAGTGGTGAGTTTTAAAGTGTTGAATAAGTTAGTTGAAATTCATCCAATAGTTTTATGTAATCACTCTGAATGAAGTTCCAGAACACTTGTATCTGATGATGCAGTCTACAAACTCACCAGTGAATTATAAGAATGTGTAGAATTAAATTGCCATACTATACTTTACACATAAAAATCCACCCACTCATTTCTAATTATTAATATAATAGTAACTCATCTAACTCATCTCACAGTTAACTAAACAACAAACTGATTTCATATAATTTAGAAAATAGATCACACTAATCCTGCAAATTGTACTGGATAGGTATGTTGCATTTTATATATATGTTCTACATTTAATTTATAAGTAGGGTTATTTACTAAAGTGAGTATTCAAGGTAAATTCAAAGTAAATTTTAAATTTAAGGCAAGATTAATTGAAGCATAGCTGACTTAAAGAATTTTTCCATTTCAACTATTTTGGCCTTAACTTTAAAATTCACCTTGATGTAATCTTGTATTCTCACTATAATGAATAACCCCCCAGTATCTATATATTATATAGGATTACATATTACATAGGATATTACAGATAGGTTCTTGTTTTATTGTTCCATAAGGGTTTGTTTTCTGTTTAAGACTAGTAATGATTTTTTTTTTTACTGTGTATAATACGTGTATTATTTCATAATATTTTGATGTCATAAAATGTATTTTAGAGCAATTATTAGCAGTTGTATTTTTATTGCACCGCCATATTTCACAGTACCTGACAGTCATACAATGTGGATATTCACGACAAAATAAATGTCAGACAGTCATTTTATAGATAAAATCAAATGAGTTTCTTATCTTTCATATGTTTCTTAGTCTTGTAGTGTTAACGAGAAATACTTAAAGTATGTATTCTTGTAACTATATGCCCAATTGATTTAATAGTATTCATTTTCTTTTAAACTGTATAAAGTATTCAGTAACATAAAGAGATAAAACTTTGAATAATTAAAAGGAAATACAATGGGATTGACAGGAAGTCACATAACATAGACAGGGCTATTTAGTAAGGTGTGAACAATCAGGATGTCAAACCGAATTTAACATTTTAGGCCAAAATAGCTAATTGGAACAATTCTTCAAGTCAGCTATGTTTGCCTTTTTGGCATAAAATGTAAAAATCACTTGGAATTTCTGACAGATTGGACTTTAGCATATAAACCTGAATGTAGTTTAGTGATAATTTGGAATGAATCCATGAAATAAGCCAAATTTAACATCCATGTTGACACCACCGATCCCTTTTGATTCAAAAAGGGAAAATGTGTTTTTTTATCCCAAGCGGTAATCCAGTTTAAGAGCTTCATATATGGAAAGAGCAGTGTATTGAAGGTTGTCTATTAAAAGGAGCAATTGCTATGAAAACCAATGGAATGCTTCAACAAACTGTTCAACTTAGAATTGTGCCCAAACACTGCACGTTCCAGGACCCTTCAGTGCCCCTATGTATGTTTTCCCAGTTTTCCTCCCTGTCAGCTAATCACTTCTTACCAATGTACAATGAATTGTAGATTGTAGGCAATCTAACAGAATATTCATTTTATCGCACACAGATCCAGACGATACAAATGGAAAAAGAGCTGGAAAGACTAGACGAAACCGCACAGTTTATAGCAAAAAACAATTGGAATTATTAAATAGAGCATTCCAGAAAAACCGATATCCAGGCATAAAAGAAAGGGAAGAATTGTCTGTACTCATTGGCGTGATGGAGTCCAGAATTCATGTATGTAATAGACATTGATGAATAACTTTCCTGTATTTTTTCCCCTCCTTTTTTAACTCAGATATCCCAACCAAAAACATAGCACAATACAGGGTTCACTAAAATGTATAAAAATTTAGCAAATTAAAATTGATATATTGATATAATATTTTTAGATTTTGGCAGGGCCCTCTTCAACTACTCTTCCAGTAAATTTCAGTGAAAACTCAGCTAGAACTTCAGGAGTGGGGGGTGTTGGGGAGGGAGGTGTGAGACTAGCAACTGTTAGCTTGGGGAGTGAGTGAGGGGGGTGGGCAGTACTAATAATGGTTTCTACTCACAGATGTCAGTGCGGATGGTCCTACTCATGTTGAGCATGATATATATATAGTTTTTTTTGTTGTTGTTTATAAATTCTTTATTTTTGACAAGTTTTTCTTTCTCTTACATAGACATTATTCATATAATATTTATACGTTTTTGAATTAAATAATGCGTATTTTGATACATATGAATAATTTAAAATTTTACATTATATAATACAGAATGTAAACATATATTATTTCAAATATATTTCTCATACATACATGCATACATCCATTCATACATAAGTGGGGAGGGGACAAGAGGGATAAAATCTCTGTAAGATTCATTATCTATATTGAATAGAATAGTTAGAGGTAGTTTAGGTATTTTAATCTTCTGGGTTATATTATTGCATAATTATATATTTCTTCCATGGTTCCCAATTTTTCTCGTATTTCTCCAATGTACCATTTACTAAGAAGAAACCGTGTTCCATTTTGTATTGATATAAAATTTGGTCACATATAGCTGTCCATTTTAAATTTATGGTTTTCAAATTTAGAGCTATTACTATTTTAGTTGCAAAAAGAATATGTATTACTAAATATTCTTGTGCTTTATTACGCTGTGGGCAATCTATATTTCATAAGAACATATATAGAGTAAACTTATTACTATTAATTATTATTCATAAACAGGACTTAATTTCAGATTAAATTTTTTGCTAACTCTTCACACTCCCACCAAATATGTGCTATGGTACCTTTTTCTAGATGGCATCTCCAATACTTATCTGAATTATTTCTGGAGATTTTATCAAGACGCATAGGAGTCAGATACCACCTATAGATTAATTTATACTGCAATCCTATTATAGAAATACAGTGGATCGTACGAGACACTTGAGAAATTCCTTTGAACCAATCTTCCATTGGAAAGACAATATTTAGTTCAGATTCCCATTTACGTATTGGTGCAGGTTTAATTCTTTTCTCAGGTATTGGATAATTAGAATTTAATAAAGTTAGTATTTTAGATAGTAATTATTATTTTTTTTATAATAAGAGAAAACAAACATATCATCTAGCCAATGGTGCGATAGGTATTCTTTATCCATCAAAAAAAAATTAGGGAAAAAAAAGTAGGGAAATATCTCTCTATTCAAAAGTGAGTATCGTTGTTGAAATAAGTTGAAGGACATAATTTCCCCGTCTATTAAGATATCTGAAATTTTTTGGATTCCTAATGTTCTCCAAGTTAGTAGATTTAAATCCATTATATAATATGAGAGTACTTCAATGGGAGCTTCATACAATAATTTATTTTTTAACATACGTTTCTTCTTTAGTTTAATCAGCATAGTTATCATATCATTAATTATATGATTTAATATGGACTTAAAGTTTATTGCTGACAAATTTGACCAAACTTTCTTTGAGATATCACGTAAATCCATATCCTTTTTTTCAAAATGGAAACAGTCTAAGTCTTTTTTTTTTCAAATTCAAACAAAGAGTAAAGTGGTTTAACATAGCTACTTCATGTAGATAATATATATTAGGATTCCACCCCTCCTTCTTTTTTAGTCTTAACTAAGATATCATTGGATATTCTTGGATGCTTTCCCCTCCAAATATAGTCTTTAAACAATATAGCAAATTTGCCCAATAATTTAGAATCAACTTTGAGGGGGATGGTTCCAAACAAGTAGAGAACTTTAGGAAGTACATAGGCGTTTACTATATTTATTCGGCCTAACCACAATACTTCTAATCCTTTATGGAAGGAGAAGTATGATGGCAAGGTATTCAACAATTCCATATAGTTGAATTCTACCATAGTGGGTATATCTAGTTTGATCTTAATTCCCAAATAATCTATATATATATTTTTACAGTCAAATTGATATTTAGATTTCATCAGCTCTAAGTTAGTATTAGAAACAAACTTAAAATTTGAGATTTCAAAACATTTATTTTATAGTTTGAAATTTTACCAAATTGATTAATGGAAATAATGAGTGCGTCAATTGATTCTACAAGGTTTGTCATGCACAGGATGGCATCATCTGCATATAAAGTTATTTTGCTGTTTCTTACCTGTAGTCCTTGAATCTGTTCATTTTTCCTGATTAAGATGGCTAATGGTACAATTTTAAAGTATGGATAATAGGGGGTTGCCAATGGGCATCCCTGCCGTGTTCCATTTGATATAGCAAACCAATTTGATTCAAACATTGGTCCAACGACTTTGGCTGTTGGATTTGTATATAAAGACATAATATTATCTTTAATTTTGCCTTTAAAACCGAATGATTCCAAAACTGATTCTAAGTATGTCCAATTAACTCTATCTCTAAGGCCAAAAAGGCTATTTCAGTTTTGGATCTTTGTGCAATATGCATGATGTTTATTATCTTACGGGTGTTATCTATTGGATTTCTGTCCAGGACAAACCCTGATTGATCTTTATGAATAATCTGGGGAATGATCTGTTTAATTCGGTTTGCTATAATTTTTGAGAAAATTTTTAAATCTAAATTAATTAAAGATATTGGTCTGTAACTGGACTGGAAGTTAATGTGGCATCCTTTCCAGGTTTTAAGATTGGAGATATCGTGGCTTGAAGCATCTTCCTAGGAATTCCATTATTTGAGAAACCCTGAAACATGGTTAAAAGAGTTGGTATAATTATTTCCTGAAATTTCTTATAAAATATTGCCGAGTAGCCATCTGGACCTAGGGCCTTACTAGGTTTAAGTTCTGAGATTACCATTTGAATCTCTGTATATTAAAATGGTGCGTTTAATTTATCTAAGTCTTCTTCTGTTATTTTAGTGATTTCAAGGTTACTCATGAAGTTTTTAATTTTAATTTTGTTTAATTGGCAAAGGTTTCCACTATATCTTTTGTAGAATATACTGATTTATTATTTACAATTAATTTAGAAATAATTTTTTATTATCATATTTCAGTTTATTTGTAAGAACCTTCCCTGCTTTGTTATTATTATGATACCATCTTTGTTTAAAGCGAAGGATGGCCTTATCCACTTAACAGAAAGTAAACAAACAGTAACAATGTCAATGCAAGTTACATTTTATTAGTTACAAATTGTTAAAATTAATAATTGATATTAAAAATATATATATATATATATTTTATAACAGAGACCAACCAATAGAAATGGATAATTTTGTTGTATTTATTTAGATGAAAATTAGGTATTGACTTTTTATTATTATTAATAATAATTACTAATGGATTATATCTATTTTGTACCACAGGTTTGGTTCCAAAATAAGAGAGCCAGAAAGAACAAACAAAGAAAAAGTGAGGAAGAAAATGCAGAAAATGAAGATACATTAAGATTGCATAGGCCTCAAGACACCAGGACTGTGAGACCTGAGAAGAAATGCAATAAAGTGGCTCATCCTTCCATGTACAACAGTTATGTGGGCCATCCAGTGCATCCCTATGCTCCAAATATCTACATTTATAATGCAAAGAGTTCTCAAGGACCACTTACCTCCAGAAATAACACTTACCAGGATATTCAAGCGACACCTGCTGGACAATTAAATGGATACACCAAATACGTACAGCAGTATAATTACCCGATTCAGCATGTGCCCTACAGCTATCTTCCAGTTAATGTCAATAACCAAGGAGGAAGTGAATCTGCATACGTCTCTTCATATGCAAACCCAGGGGAGATCACTCAACAAAGGGATGAACATTACTCATTGGAGGAGATACTGGATGATGTGCAATCCATTCTTATCGATGACACGGAAAAGTGCACTGGAAACATAGATCATGTGCCTTACTTTGATGTGTAAAGGATGAGTAATCTGGGCTCTCATTTCAAGAGCAAGCACAATGTTAAAGGATCACTATATGGTCAGGAACACAAACATATATTCCTGACCCTATAGTGTTTAACCCACCATTTAGGTGGCTTGCCCCCATATAAAAGTTTAAAACTCACCTTATTTCCAGCACCGCACGGGTCCACCGGCGCTGGCTCCGCCCCCTTTGTGACATCAAAATGAACGATTTTTTGCCAATCTAATGCTTTCCTATATGAAAAGGCAGTGTTTGCATGAAAAAAGCCTGAAAGCAATGATTATACTCACCAGAACAACTACATTAATCTGTAGTTGTTCTGGTGACTATAGTGTCCCTTTAAATCTACCTAGCAAGTAGTAGATTTGTACATTTTGCTATAATTTCAAACCATTATTTACTGTGCTGAGCAGTAAATTGTGTCATTACATATTTGTTTTTCTTACTTCTATTGTACCTTATTTTGTATAGCTTACATAGCACTTTTTAATTTTAGATCTATTTGGTTGTTTTCATACAATTTCTATTTAATGAGGCTTTACATAATAAAATCATTTAATAGCTCAATATTTCAATATGGTAGAATATAAAATCATTAAATAATACTAAAGGCAAAAATAAATATTAAATATTATATATATTGCTGTAGAGCCATGACATTTTTGTGTGACAAGACACATGGCTTTCCTGTATTTTGCTAGGCCTAAATACAGTCATCTGGTTGAGATTTTTTAATATGTCTCATCTTATGCAAACCCATTGGATAGCACTCAACAAGGGGATGAAGACTACTCCTCGGAGGAGATGCAGGATAATGTGCATTTAATTCTTAGCAATGACATGGAATATTGCACTGGAAACATAGAAGATGTGCTTTACTTTGTTGTGTAAAGGATGAGCCATCTGGGCTCCTGTTTCAAGCGCAAGCACAATGTTAAATCTAACTAGCAAGTGGTAGATTTGTACTTTTTGCTATGATTTTAAACCATTATTTACTGTGCGGAGCAGTAAATAGTGTCACTGCATGTTTTTATTTCTTACATCTATTGTACCTTGTTTTGTATAGCTCACATAGCACTTTTTCAGTTTTATATCTTTTCTCTTATTAATAAATGGTTGTTTTCATACAGTTTTTCGGCTATGATTATTTAATTAGCCTTTACATAATGAAACCATTTAATATCTCAAACCTGTAGAAATATCTCAATATGCTAGAATAAAAACCATTAACTAATAATATAGATGAAAAGACATATTGAATAATATAAATATTAATATTCATTATATATACACACACATATATACTGTATATATATTGGTAGAGCTGTGACATTATTGTGCGACAAGACACATGGCTTCCCTATAATGTATTTTGTTAGGCCTAAATACAGCCATCTGGTTGAGACCTTTTAAGGCATTTTTGCTCATTAATTATTATTTTATGAAGGTCTTACACATTCTGTGGTGTTGTACATTTGAGAATGTCATTGTTGTAACAATATACAAAAACACGTATAGTGAGATCTCAGTATACAAGACGGTTAAAACTCTAGTGGAGAGCTAATAAACCACAATTCACCAATGAACAGGTTCTAATTCTCCACTGGACACAGGATAAATAACAGATGACATGGATTAACTTTCAATGTAGGTATGAAGGTGTGAATAATCACAGTGCCTTACTCATGCAGATGAGATTAAAACCCGTTGTATTTAAACAATAATAACACTGACTTACTTTTTATCTTTAAAACTTCCTTTACATCATCACTGTTTAGAACAGGGCATGATAAATCTCTTAATTAAAATCAGTTTAAAAGGGTTGCCCTCTTACCTAGGTCCCTCCTGGCTCATATTTGCAAGCAGATTTATGACACCTGGCTTCTATTGAGTTGCTGATCCTACCAATCATTAATTGGCTGAGAGCATTAGCTGACCGATCTTACACAATGCATGAGAATCTGTGCATCAAAATTTGTACAGAATTGACATTAGCCAGCCTGGTACTCGTTCTACATCCAATGACGCTGCTAGAGGTGGCGTTACACCCCCTGCAGCAGAAGGGTTAATCTCTGTATATGCAGCATTTCATAGTGCATACAGACTCCAGGCCCCATTAACATTTCGAGAGCAAAAAACAGGTCGCAAGAGTATTTTGAGAAAGGACAGCAACTGAAATAGCCTGCCCTTCAGTGGGTCCCCGCTCAGAACTCAAGCTGGTTTTAGCTCATCTTGTTCCATTACAGAGAGAACATATCTGAAACGGGCAGTCCAGAACCGAAATGCCAGCAAGTTCCCTTTGCACGAGAGATACAGCAACCCCATTAACATTTAAAATCATGGAAGTGGTCATGGTGCTTGAAGCAGTCTATAACTTATGAACAGGCCATAAGGTTGCATACATCACTGTAGTCTCATATTTGCCATAACACTCCAATTTGGGACTCATGTCTCTGTTTACTATCTTACATTCCGCTCCTGGGTAGATGAAAGACCAAATCCCCAAAATGTACAGAGCTAAATAAATAATAAAGCAAAGAAAAATACACGTATGGCTGATCAGTAAGAAATGGCATTACAAGTCTATAGTAAAGGAGGGGCAGCTATTAATAGGTTGAAACCCAGGAACCTGGTCAAAAGTAATAAATATACAGCAATGTGGAGAAGAGTTCATAGGAATGTGAAAAGTCAGTGCAACCAGATATGCAAGGGGGAGGGCATCCAAATGTAGAACAACCAGTGATATATGCTCCTGTAAGGTCAATGGAATAAAAGCTCATAAAGCGGACCTGGGAGATCAGCATTTCTCCAAAATGGGCAGTAGGTGGAGACAGGTAAAACATGAGAGGTGTGTTTCACAAAGGAACTTTCTCAAGACAAGATGTGTTCGCGTGTAGCACGGTTCTTTATACCAAGAACAATCTGCAAAACAATTAATCAATCTCACATTTAAAGAAACAGAACTTCACAATGAAAAATATGTGTTGTTCGTGGAAATAAAAGATTAAAAAATATATAAAATTATATAAAAAAAACTGCAAATCACAATTATATTGAATAGGTAATAACAAAATAAATGAATAACTAACTATATAGCAGCAACAGAAGGAGTAATAATCAGAGCCAAATCTATATATATATATATATATATATATATTAATGTAAAGATATAAATTACCTGTTTAACACTGTTGCTAAACTACCAATGGTGAAGCTACCGTGTAATGCAGTTACATTATAACACTTTACAAGGTATTGTAAAACTTTACTATCCAGGTCCTCATTAGTACCTTTGGGATACAGAGTATTCAGTAAATAAATCCATTTTGTTTCTGCCTTTAACAAGGATAAATAAATATCTTCCTAGGATAAATGTAAAGAGATACTCTGTATGTCAGTAATTATTAAATGTGTAGGATTAGAGTTTTTGTGATTTCTAAAGCCTAACTATAGTAGTGTATAATTTGAGGTTCGCTATTGAATGCCGGTGCTTCTCCCAGTAGCCTTATAAAGATCGACATAGGAAGGAGCAAAACTGTCCCCCATTGTCATTGTCCTGACTCCCCCTCCATGGCTAGGGTTAGGGGTAGGGTTGGGGTAGGGTTAGGTTAGTGGTAGAGTTAGGGTTAAGGTTGGTTTAGGGTTAAGTTATGGGTAGAGTTAGGGGTTGGGTTAGAGAGTGGGGTTAGGGGTAGGGTTAGGGCCTAAGTGCAGAATTTAGAAATTGCTGAAGTCACGAATTTTGGAAGTGCCAAACCGAAGTGCTGAATTGCCAAAGTCCTGAATTTCAGAAGTTCCAAATTTCAGAAGTGCCGAACGGAACCGTATTTTTTGCCCATGCACATCCATAAATTTTACTATTGTTGATGACTTAATGGAGGCTGTCAGTGAGAGTTCAGAAATTGAGAAAGCATTCACCAAGTATGTGCATCACAGAAATCTGAGTATCATGTATCTGGTACAAAATGTGTTCTGTCAAGGTAAAAAAAGTCACACTATAGCTTTAAACACTAAATATATGGTACTTTTTAAGAACCCAAGAGATAAACTGCAAAACACTACTCTGGCCCGCCAAATGTACCCCGGTAAATCACAATTTTTTAGATGCTTTTGAAGATGCCACACGGAAATCTTATGACTATCTGCTTGTAGATTTAAGATCTACAACACCCGAAGAGTACCACTTAAGAACTGGTCTCTTCCCACCCAACCTACCATCAGCAAATATTTATAACAAACAGCCCTCTAAAAGTCGATAGTATACCAATAACAGGTCATTCCCTGCCGAGTCTCAGAACCTGTAAGGATGTCTATGCGTATACGTCGCAATTGGTTGATTTTACAAAGTCTAAGTGCATCGCCCTCACAGAAAAAATATATTTTATGCTCCGCGTCTCATGATTTAGTCACTGTCATATGTGAAATAGCTCTTAATACCCTTAAAGGTAAGATACCTTTATCACAACACCAAGTAGAAAAAATAAACAAGTGGCGAAAAAATATAAAAGCACTGAGCAACAAAAAAAATGTCTTTTAGTAAGAAGAAGCAGTTGGTTAAACAGTCTAGAGGATTTATTGGCTCACCGGGGTCGCGGCTGCGACTGTGCCCGGCCTACCAGGGGGCCCGGACGCCCTGCGACCCGGTATGTATACCAGTGTGGCCAACCTCTTCTCCTGGGGGGCCCAGGAGCTGGCCACCTCAGGGCACCCCGAGGCTGGCCTTGGTATCATCGGGCTGGTAAGAGCCGCGCGGGCATTCAAACCGCCCATAGGAAAGCATTACTCAATGATTTTCACAGTCAGAATCGTGGAAGCTCCTCTAGCGGCTGTCAATGAGACAGCCACTAGAGGCTGGATTAACCCTCAGTGAAACTGCTATGTTTTCAGCTGCAGGGTTAAAACTAGAGGGACCTTGCACCTAGACCACTTCATTGAGCTGATGTGATCTGGGTGTCCTTTAAGAGTATATGTATCTGCATGCACTGGCGTACATACCGCAGTCGCAGGGGTCGCAGCCCTGCAACCCCTGCGACCAGGTGCGCGCCGCCATGTGTTGCGGCCTCAGCCCGCGCAGAGTAAGCGCGTGGGGGGCCCACGGATCAGTTTTCGCACCGGGGCCCCATGGGTTGTGTGTATGCCACTGGTTTGCTATACCTCTGCTGACCGATCTTTTGACTAACCCTTAATGGCACACGCTGAGAAAAAGTATGTAGTGACTAAACAAGAGTTGGATCTAATACAGCGAACCACTCAGAGCTCTGAGGCCGCTCGTGAGTCTGTCACTCAGAACTTAGGTAAAGAGATTATGTCCATTCTTCAAAATAGAAGTGTGTCAGATGATGAGAACATAAAGAGGTATACCACTATATTGCAGAAATACTTTATATGTGCTAAACAGAGTGAACGCAAAAAGATGGGATTGACACTTTTCTTACCTCCTGGAGAATTCTCCGTACCAAAACCTCCTGCTGCTGAAGTCTGATGTTTCAGACGCTATATTTCGTGAAGTCATTAATTATGTAAATGTCCACTATAAAAAAAAAATGCTGAATTGTTGTTGAGTAGAATGTCTCAATCCAAGCACATTACAGTTTGGAATGATAAGGGTGAATTTGTTTATAAAAACACTGTTGTACCGGGATCAAATATACGCAACTTGGTACATAGTGTTACCCAGAGTCACAATGTTAATGTATGTAAATTACCTGCGGGCTGGGATACTTTTCTTCAGGCTATGGCTGACCTGAACATACTGTCTGCAGTTGTGGGCAACACTTCAAATAGAGACTATTTGGAACAATTGAAATTGCAGAGCCTTTCAAGTGAGACTCGGGACTTAACACCCCATTTTCAAAAAAGACAAACGTTACAAAATATTTCTTTTAGCACCCCGGGATTAACATCTCACGGTTCACGTATGCTGAAGCAGCCTGCTGATTGGTTGAATTTGTGATGTTTATTTATTGTCTTTTCTGTCTAAAACATTTGATTATAGCTTTTGCCTGTGAATATTGTATTGGCTTTTATTTTTGTCTAATAAATATTGTTATATGAGTTACTTTGGCATTTATTTATTTCTCAGATTTATATAAACCTGGCCTCTGGGTTTGTTCTATACTTTCAAAACAGGCCCCAGATACATGTTTCAAAAACATGTCCAGACTTGTCCCCTTTATTCAGTAATATCCCTCCTCTAAATAAATAAATTAATTAAAAATCCAATCATAGAATGTAGTACCTCATACAACCATTTGGTGGCACACTCTATGAATATTGTAAAGTGTCGTGTATATAACACGCCGTGACGTGGTTTAATAAAAAGGGGAAGGGCACCAGTCAAAATTTAGTTTTTTGACTTGTACCATTTATTCCTCCTCAGTGCTTTCCCATAGGAAAGCATATGGAGGCTATTGTGCATGCCAGCAAAACGCTGCACTGTGCCAATCAAAATGTTCCTAGGCAGTAATGTAAACACATTAAAGATGTCATTAAAATGGGGCAAGCTGTAGTAGACACCAGAACCACTACATTAAGCTGAAGTGATTCTGGTAATTATTGTAATTTCTAGTAAGTTATTCTACCTTATGATCATAGTATTCACATTTATATTATTTAATGAAATGTAATGATTTCATTCGCCCTATACTTTGTATTTTGCGCATTGTTGAAAAATATATTGGTACCTTTATTCTATTACAACCCCTTTCTTAGAGGTAGCTGCATATTATTATTGAGCTTTTATGCTCATTATGATAATACAGACAGGTATGTTCTGATATAATATAACTTTGACATTGTGTTTTTTATTTATTTATTTTTTTTATAGGTTATCCAATAAACAGGTATGATTGTGGAGAATTTGCAAACTTCACTCTAAATTTCCAACACACACTTAAAATTGAGAGAAATCTAAATGAGTAAATAAAAAAATAAAAAATAGCTGTGATTGGAAATAAAATACCCAACACTGCTATTCATGCTCTGCTACTTAGCATACTAATTGCTAATTATTCTCACTTCCAAGGCTACTGAACGAACACAATGCCTTGAATTCACATTCAGACAACTCCTGCTTGTTACACCAGACAAGCAGGCAGCTATCCCCACGTGGCTTTGTAATCACGTGGTTTATCTGTAACATTACAAACATTCCCCCCTCTTTTTTTTTTTTTTTTTAACAAACTCACTAACGTTCCGCTTACGTTCTGTTCCCTGACGGAACTTAATCGTGTCGGACTCTTCTGGCGGAATTGGTGCCCATGTGGATGAGCTGAGCCTTGATAAGTGTGGATCAGAAGCAGGTAGAGGGATAGCGTTATTTGTGGTCTTTTAATGTTAGTTGAGGATGGTTAATACTTGCATACTAGCACATTTAGTGTATAATGATGGGCTGTAACCTGCATAGTACTCTGTGTTATTCCTACATATCCAGGGCTATTATAATGCATGCTATGATAATGTGTGGCTGGGGGCTTTATAATATATCATTTGTTTGTTCTGGGACTTTATACTAATGAGCAGCCAACAATATCTCATAAATAAAATAGTCTCCACAATCACATTTAAAAAAAATAAAAATAAATAAAAATAATTTTTTAAATTTTTTTTTAATCATAAAGGTTTGATCTCGATAAAGTGCTCAGCATTGACAGAGCTGCTTTAAATTCACTAAAATCGAGCGTTCCGTAAACTAAACCCAAAATATCAGAGGCAGCCAGGATTAAAGGAGTAGTGTTTATTTTAAGATATTTTGCACAACCCAATGGCTATCTAAAAGTAAACTATGGATTTCATTTTGTGTTTTGTTATTTTATATGGGACGTGTGAAGGCATTGTGGTGTTCCGATACATTTACAAATCCTATATAATTTTCTCTCTGTGACTAGAGCCAGAGATAGGCAACCTTCGGCACTCCAGATGTTGTGGACTACATCCCCTTTAATGCTCTTACACCCATAAAGCTGACAAAGCGTCATGGGAGGTGTAATCCAAAACATCTGGAGTGCTGAAGGTTGCCTATGCCTGACCATAGATGGAATATCTCATTTCTGTTAACTATACAGAGGGAAAACGTATTTATATAATATTTAGAATTTTTTTTTTTTTTAAATCTGATTTTACTGGATTTGTGAATTACCAGATAGTTGACTCTAACATTATGGAGCTACAGTTTATCCTGTTTTAACCATGCTCCGCAGCCTGCAAAAGTGGTTATGGTTAACCTGCCTCTGTTGGCGGTCATTCTGCCTTCAGCCACGTGAGGTGATTTTAGCTGAAATAGTGGTGTAAAACACGAATATTTCAATAAGATGGTCGAAACTATCAGATTGGTGCAGTGTTTTACTGCGCATGCACACTAAACCCCCCAACGTTTTCCTATGGGAAAGTATTTGATTGGTTGAGATCATCAATCTCTATGATCTCAGCCAAAGAGGTGCAGCAGTATGTCAGGCACCAGTACTGCAAGGAAGAAATGGTTAGTAAACTCACCTTTTTAACTCTGGTGACAGGGGCCCGGTCACCTAATCGGCAACTAGTGCACTATAGCATTAGGAATACACATTTTGTATTCCTAACACTAAAGTTCTCCTTTAATTCATTGGTAGTCCCTGATCTGTTTTTATCAATATCTGTTTTGTCCCTACTTGGACAACATTAGTTGACTGAAAGTGTCAGCTGCGTAATACATTTTGCTTTAATACGGAATAGCACTTTTCCCTTTTTTACAAGACACTTTTTTGTGTATGATGTGAAAAAAGGTTGCAGCTTGGTATAGGAAAAGGCAGATGGCAGAGGAGTGCTCTAAAATTTTTATATATTTGCTGCAGAATGGTTACAGAAGAGAAGTTAGATTAGGGCTGTCAAACTGTTGACTGCAAATTCATTTATTTAGTGACAACTATCTTGATCCTTGTCCAGCTGTAGAACCTAACTGGTCTGAAGCATCTTAGCACTGGAAGTGATAAGGTTGGACAATACTAACTGCAATTGCTCACCAAAAGGAAAATGTCTCCCCGTGAAAGCGGTTAAATTAGATTATTTTCAGAGGGGTAGGGTAGACTTTGTTTTTCAGTAGACAGGTCATGTTTGCCCAAATTACCTAGGTCCCAAAAGTGCCTGCGCTGCATTTGGCTTCTTATTCTGGAGAAGCAGTATGTTAACTCTGAGCTAAGCACGGCCTGAGACCGAGCTTTATACACTGTCTGGGAGTGCTCAGGGGTGCTATCTGTATTCTCCAGATAGCAATAAGTTGTCAAACCTTTCTTAAATTGTTTTTCAAACTACTCTGGGAGGGTACCGCTGGGCTGTGAAATAGAGGGGTAAAAGTTACATGCTTGGGCTTTTAAATGAAAAACACCTGTGATGCTTTGGCTGTCAATTTTATAGAAATTGTCACAATAGCATGTCATCAGACCCATTCTGTTGGAAGATTGTGATTGGCTGGTAGTATTTCCAGGTCAATACTAATGCTTCTCTTGTTCCTCATTACGTTTGCTGCATAGGTTCTTGTATATCGTTGGATGTGGATCCTCTGCACCCATAACCTCATTATTCTAAATTAAAGAAAAAAGCAATACCATGTTTTAATGCAAACCGTATGTTTTTTTTTTTTTTCTCAGTGTATCCACAGAGGCAGACACCAACTACTACTCAACCATGGAGGATATGAAAGAAAAAAAGAAACATCGGAAGAAAAACAGTGGACCCAAAGCAAACAAAAAGCGTAATCGGCAAGAGGGTGAAGGAATTACAGAAGAAGATGCCAGGAAAAGAAATCCTAAAGCCTTTACAGTGCAGTCTGCTGTACGCATGGCAAAGAATTTCCATAGGTAATACATTACACCCATCCTTTAGTTATTTTTTTTAAAATCAATATTCTGTGCTTAAATTGCAGAATCCATGGACATCTTTGCTTCTAAAACACACATTTATATGTTTCATGTCCTGCATTTTCACTCCTCTAATTTCCGTTCTTACTACGTTTTCTCTATTTATTGTCTGTGATCTGGGCTAGATAAATCTTCTGCCTTGTTAACGACCTGAATCTACTTGTAACACAGCCATTGTTCTTGTTTTATGATGCACATCTTGTTGAATTTATTTTTCCCCAGTAATAGTTTAAAGAATTATTAAAGACCATGAATATGATTTGCATTTTTATAGCCAATGGATTGTTTTCTTCCTAGGACGCAGGATTTGAAGACCAGGAAACATCACATACCAGTGGTAGATCGCACACCTCTTGAACCTCCACCTGTGGTTGTGGTGGTTGTTGGGCCTCCAAAAGTTGGGAAGAGCACCTTAATCCGTTGCCTCATTAAAAATTTTACCAAGCAGAAGCTTACAGAGATCCGAGGACCGGTGACTATTGTGTCAGGTAAGATGGCAACAATCAAAAACTTTTTAAAAACGTGTGTGAACGACTCTTCAGTCTAACAGCAGACATTTTAAACAGGTTCTATGACCAATGCATAGTGCCTTATTTTTAGATTTTAAATTTAAAATATGTATTGCTTTCTCTTAAAACTTTAATTTCTGCAGGAAAGAAGCGTCGTCTAACCATCATAGAATGTGGATGTGACATCAACACAATGATAGATCTGGCTAAAGTTGCTGACTTGGTAAGAGAGTGTATCTATATAATTACCTTTCTAGGCTTTCTCTTACTTCCATTGTCAAGGTGGTGAGATGTGTACAGAATGATATGACTGACATGGCAAGGGTGCCATTCTGTTTCACATCAGCTATAGCTAACTAAAACAAATAGATTTCAGTTGTGTGTTTGTTACTGTTTTTTTTTATTATTTTTAAGAAATATTTACGCCATTCTTTTAATACAAAGTGTTAATTTCACAATATATTTGTCCGGTTATGAGTATTACTTGTGTGCAATTCCCATCTTTGGATAAATAATCATAATCGTCAAAATGTATGCATTAAAGGCATACTCCAGGCACCCAGACCACTTCTGACCATTGGAGTGGTCTGGATGCAAACTCCCACTACCCTTAACCCTGCAAGCGTAATTATTGCAATTTTCATAAACTGCAATATTTACCATGCAGGGTTAAGTCCTCCTCTAGTGGCTGTCTATCAAACAGCCACTAGAGGGACTTCCGTGTTCTTAGAACACGAAAAGTATTTTAAGCAACGCTGGACGTCCTTGCGCTATGTGAGGACCTCCATCGTCCCAGAAATCCCCGTAGGAAAGCATTGAATAATGCTTTCCTATGGGGAGCTCTAATGCGCGTGTGCGGCCATTGCCGAGCATTAGGTCTCCCCCGCCGGCGGGGGAGGGGAGTAGGCGGAGCCTGACCAGTGCAGAGGGACTCCGGTAAGTCCCTGAAGGGGTTTTAACCCCTTCAGCAACTTGGGAATATGGGGTGGGAGGGATAGGGGCATTAGAGAGTCCTGCAGTGCCAGGAAAATGAATGTTTTCCTGGCACTGGAGAATTCCTTTAAGTGTCCTTTATGCTGAGATTCCTTAAAATATATTTAGACGTACCGGCCGGTGGGCGGGATCAGTCTCGCCCACTGGCCGATGCAGTCAGAAGGAGGAGCGGCGCGGAGGGAGAAGCAGCGACGTGGGACATCGTCGCTGCCTCAGGTAAGTTACTCAAGGGGTTTTCACCCCTTCAGCAACCGGGGATTGGGGGGTTGGAGGGAGAGGGGACCTGCAGTGCCAGGAAAACGGATTGTTTTCCTGGCACTGGAGTTTCCCTTTAATAAATTGGTGGTAGCTGAAGGTGACGCAACAAAGGAAAACATATTAGAGATCTGTTGGTTGTAGTAGTAGTGTGTACGTATGTAGGCACCAGAGGTTTCAGTGAAAGTTGTTCTTTAAAGGTATGTGTAGTGCCAGTGAACAATCTCTCTTAACTCTAGTAATTAGAAAATTGTTCATTATCTCTTGGATTACAGTTGGTGTAGCCGGTGTGCTCTCATCAATGTAAAAATATTCTGTATTCTGATTTTACAGTGTGTATATGCTTATGAAACTTTACACTTTCTAACACAGGTCCTGATGCTGATAGATGCAAGTTTTGGTTTTGAGATGGAAACATTTGAGTACTTAAACATCTGTCAGGTGCATGGTTTTCCTAAAATCATGGGTGTTCTTACGCATTTGGACTCTTTCAAGAACAACAAGCAACTGCGCAAGGTCAAGAAAAGGTTAAAGCACAGATTCTGGACAGAGGTCTATCAGGTGAGGGACTCTGCCATTCAGTATATACCAAGGTACCTTACCGGTTAAGTAGCCTTGCCCACGGAGTCAAACTGTTTGCAACAAACATATGTGGTGAAATTGTCAAATGAACTAAAGTAATGTACCTTCTTACCCTTCTTACTGTGCAGGGAGCCAAGCTTTTTTATTTATCTGGGATGGTGTATTCTGAATACCAGAAACAAGAAATACGTAATCTAGGAAGGTTTATTTCTGTCATGAAGTTCCGGCCTCTGATATGGCAAACTTCCCACCCGTACGTTCTGGCAGACAGGTGAGATTATCCTTCCTTCTACTTTGCACTAGAAAAGTTGAACCATGTTCTTAACTCTTGTGAATCTGTAAAATGTTCTCTTTGATGCAATAATGGTTATGACGTAAGTAGTATCATTGACCCCTTTCTCAGTAGTGGCCCCCTTTCTCAGCAGTGGAACAAACCAATTATTAACGGTTTTCACTCTTACCTAGTCCTGCCAGGTGTCAGCTTTCCTCTATGTTTGGATGTGACCCCATCCAGCGTCTGCGGAGCCGGCTGCCAATCCTGCTGGCCATTCATTGGCTGAGAGTGTCAGTTGACAGTTTTCAGCCAATATTTGCTATTCTGTGCATAATAATATGTTTAGAATTGGCATTAGCCTCTTGGAAGGCTTGAGAATAAATATTTTGAATTTTTTTCGATACATATTTGAATCCTGTGCTTTAAACAGATGTTCTGACTATTCTCTGCTATTATTTTCTTGTCTGACGTTGAATTGTTCTGGGTGTAGTTTTCTGACCATATAGCATTTATATAATAACAAATTTAATATCCAAATCATATACATTTAGGGATATCTTGTGGAATATAATATATGATCCAGTTATTGGTGCTTGGGCAGATATAGAGAGATAGGGTTGTACATATAAGTGTAATATATAGATACATAAAGCTTTGATTCTGTATAAGAAATGTAAAAAATATACACCTGGAATTGTGTTTAAAAAAATAAATAAATGTAAACACTCAAATCCAGAGCTTATCATTCTGAGCTATGGAAATTATGGAACAAGATTCAGTCTGAAATATCTAGCAGGGTTTTATGGGATAGATAATTTATCCCCAAAGAGCAGTTAGTCATCACATACGCCTAATAAACTGATAGCAGTCATGCCACAGCTACTACCAGTTTATACACAGCCGAGTTTGCTGTTTATTAAACTGAGATTTGTCTTACTATCGGCTGAGCCATGGACTGCAAAGGTGCTGTCCAAGGCTAGTCTCCCTCCCTTTCTTTTAGCGTGAGACCTCGAGTGTGGGTGGCATGCCCATGACGCACACACACTACAGGGACATTGACACTGGCATCCTGGAACCACCTCGGACTGACTTATAGTTGCAGTGAGAATGGGTTCATGGCACTCTGAGCACCACGCACTTTACATAATGCAAAGTACTTATATTGTGTAGACTGACGCTTTAAAAGTAACCTGTCCCTTTCAAAAGCAGAAAAGAGCTTCCACAACGCATGTTAGCAGCCCCCGGCCCGCCGCATGGCGCAGCCGTGCCTGACCGGCATAACCTCGACGATATTGCGAGCTTACCTGCGAGCCTCTGAAACGTTCCGCCGCGTCTTCTGTGTGTTGCGCCCAAATCAAAGATGGCGCTGACCATGTGGTCGCTCACACCACAAGCGCCGCACCTCAAATTTATACGGACGTGAGCATGACGTCACAACGTCAACGCAAACGCACGTTCTGGGGTCAGAGGTCGCACTCTGACCAATCAGAGCCCAGAGAGGGATATTTAACTCCCTAATTCACTCCAGTTTCTTGCCCTGTCGTGGTTTCCTGTTCCTGGTTCCCAAGAATGCGTTTATCTTTGTGAATATTACTTCCTGGTATCCTGATCTTGGCTTTTCCCTGGTTATTCCGAATTCTGGTTCCACTGACTTGGCTTGTTTTAACGGTATCTGAGTATTTCTGGCTTCCTTGACCTCGGCTTTCCCTTTGACCATTCTCTATCTCTAGCGTATTAGCCATTCTAAGGTCCGGTTTACGCTCTGTCCTTTTATTTCCTTTCCTTTTTTTATGTATATGTTTACATAGTTTCTGCGTGTTGGACCACACTAGCAGCCGTGACAGCGGCTTTGGCTAGAGCAGTAATAGGCAATCTCCGGCACTCCAGATGTTGTGGACTATATCTTCTCCGATATTTTGACAGCATTAAGGCTTTGAAAGCATTATGGAAGATGTAGTCCACAACATCTGTGTGCCGGAGGTTGTCTGCCCCTGCGCTAGGGAATATAGGAACAAAGTGACTGATGTCACTCTGTTCAGAAGCCAATTTGTACGTGTTATGAAGTTCAGAAGAGACCGGGCGGTGTGGGCAGACTGGAAATGGATGTTACAGAACAGGAAAACCCACCTCTGCAAGGAAAATGCGTTGCAGGAATTGAGAGTCGGACAAGTCCTGACAGATGCCATGATATGCCTTCATCTGTCATCAGTTTACTTCAGTATGAAGCTTGCATGGTAACCTGACCAGTGCTTGTCACTACATTGTTTCTACAGTGAGAGATTGTTTGCTTATGTTAGCAGTCATCTGTAGCAGTGAGGGATACAAGTGTACCAATGTGGTAGTGATGGGAAGTGACCTGTAATCTGACTGAGTATTTAGCACTACTCTGGAATGATGTCAGGAGGTGCCTTTAGACTGATCAGCTGGGGTTCTGCAGAACACCAATTGGGGTTCCGCCAAAAGTTTAAACAATAAAATGGCCGCTGGGGGTGAGGGAGTAGTAAGCAGTGATCGCCCGTCCAGCTCCCTCGGGCGCACAGCAGTGATGCTGGAGCCGGAATATGTCACTCCGGCATCACTAAGAGGCGCACGAGGGAGCTGAGCAGAGAGATCACTGCTCCGTCACATGCCAGCTGCTCAGCAGCCCCACTGGACCCCAGGGACTGCAAGCTCAGCAGCACATTGGACCCCAGGGACTCCATGCCAACACTTCTAAAGGTAGGGGGGCTGGGTGGAGTAGAATGTAAAAGAAAATTGTATGTGTGTCTGTTAGAGAGTTTGTATATGTTTGTGTGTCTGTCAAAGAGTATATGTGTGTTTGTCAGTGAGTGTGTGAGTGTATGTGTTTGTCAGTGAGAATGTATCTGTTCTTGTCAGTGAGAGTGTAAATGTGCTTGTTTGTGTCTCTGTCAACGAGTATGTATGTTTGTCAGTGTGTGTATGTGTCACTGTGTGTATCCAAGTGTATGTGTGTGTCAGTGTGTATCTGTGTGCCAGTGTGTGTATCTGTTTGTCAGATACATATACATACACAGAGATACACACTGGCGCAAACAAACACAGACACACACACCTTGACACACACACACACACACACACACACACACACAGTGTGTCAAGGTGTGCCACTATGTGCCAGTGTGTGTGTATCTCTGTCAGATATATATATATACACACATACACACATTGACACATACAAGCACAGTTATAAACACCTTGACACACACTGGCACATACAAAAAACTTCACAAATGTTGATACACTATGTCAAAGGGTTCCACGGGAAAAATTAATTGGGAGCCCCTGATCTTGGCCATCTCATTGATAGCTTAGGGAGCACTTAGTTATCACCTAAAATACTTCAGCAAGCTGGAATTTAGAGGTCTGGAGTGTTCGTTTAATATGGCAAATTTCTCTGTATATTCACAGTATACACAACCTGCAAACAAAATTATGTTTCACAATGCACAAATCTAATATAAAAGTAAAAAAATTATGTAATTGAGAAATAACATTGTAAGTATATGGAACATATATAAACCGTTTTTGTTGTGACAATAGTCTTTCTTGTATGTCTCATTACAGTTGGTGTTTGTGTTTTCCTGTCTTATCTGTATTATTTCCTTTTAATCCCTTTATCCTAGTCTGTCTCCTGCCTCCACACTTAAACATGGCTTAAATTGATTAGCTGTGCACCCCCTGCTGTTTGTCCTGATAGTCTTTGATATCTTTGACTCTTTGGTTTTTAGATGAATAGACTTCTCTTTCTTTAATATAGTGCAAGTGTCACATATTGTTCAGTTTAGGCCAAGAACATTTTTTGACTTTGTGTGTTTTTTTTTTTTTTTTTAACTACGATTATTTTTAGTAACCTTTTAATATTTTTATTTTCTGTTTAATTATAATATTCTTTGTAGCCACATATATTGTGTGTGTGTGTGTGTGTGTGTTTACACACACACACACACATATACATACGAGATGTTGAAAAGATGTTGAAAAGAGCACTCCAGAGGATTTGTTTAACAAGCTTTATATGTGATTCAAAATGATCAACGTTTCAACCCAAGAGGTCTTTGTCAAGATTTTTTTTTTTTTTTTTTTTTTTTAAGACTTTTGTGGACAGTTGTATGTCAGATGGATAAGTAAAAATGTTGACGTTTTGTTAACCTTTAAAAGATAATTGCTTTTGCATAGGAATTATTGTTTAGCCTATGCATTTCAGTCATCCAAAAATACAACCCCGCAAACCATTTGATACGGAGTGGGGTTTTTATTCTGCTTACAAGTAATGCAACATAAAAATGTGTATTTTGCATGTCTCAAAAAGCGACACGCATAAAATTAAGAGAAACACAATTTTAAGTAATAACAAGGACTTTGGGAGTGGCTGGAGAAGTGCCTCGGTAGGGGATGTATGCGTGTATAACTAAATATTAACTAAAACATCTGTAAAGGAATGGAAATCAAGAAGTAGCAGAGTAGGTTTATGCACTTTATTCCACCAGCTTAGATTTATTTTCCCTTCTTAGGATGGAAGACCTGACCAATCCAGAAGATTTAAGACTGAATCCAAAGTGCGACCGAAAAGTTTCGTTGTATGGGTATCTGCGGGGGGCATATCTGAAAAATAAAAGCCAGGTTCATATTCCAGGTTTGTTCCATGTCCAATCTTGTCATTACTCATTTCGATCATTCTTAATAGGATCCCAATAAATTACAAAAGGCATTGACTCATACGGGGGTAGGCAATGTTCGTCACTTCAGATGTTGTTTACTACATTTCCCTTAATGCTCTTAAAGCCATAATGCTGGCAAAGCATCAGGGGAGATCTAGTCCACAAGATCTGGAGGGCAAAAAGTTGCCTACCCTTGGGCTAGTATTTAATCTTTAAGGTAGTTGTATGTGGGAAAAAATATCTTTTTTTGTAAATAAACGCTTTATTTTTAAGAGGACTTATTGAATTAACAGGACTTAAGTCTGGTTCACTACTTTGCTTGATTTCGTTGATATAATAAAATCCTGAAAACTTACACTGTTGTTGTTATTTGGAATCTTTAAACTTGTTATAATTTACTACTCACATGGGATGAATCCGTTCAGTGCATAGAATCCTTCAGAATTCATCTTGTAGAAGTCTGCTCAGTAAACGGAGTTATGGTGTGTTGATAACCAAATTGCAGAATGTCTGTCACTCAGAGAAGATTTTTTTTGGCAGTCAAAAATTGGAACCACATTGTCCACTCGCCTCTACTTACTGTTTACTTAATAAACCAGAGAATGGATTTTTTTTTTTTTTAAATTTATTTCTAAATGTCCTTTTTGTAGGAGTTGGGGATTTTGCTTTGGATGATGTTAGCTTCCTGCCAGATCCCTGTCCACTTCCCAATCAGCAGAAGAAGCGATCTCTGAATGAAAGAGAGAAGATGATTTATGCTCCACTTTCAGGTGTCGGAGGTGTTGTGTATGATAAAGATGCTGTGTACATAGACCTGAGCGCAAATCATGTCCAGCAAGAGCAACAGGTAAAGAAACAGCACAAATTTAGTGCTGATATAGAAGTTATTTTGTGCAGTAGCTTTTTATAGGTTTACCATTAATGTGTAGGTAGGATAAACTGCACAAGCCTGTCATAGGAGGAAATAGTGAGATGATTCACTGAAATAGAGTAGAGAAGTATTTACTAAATTTAGTATTGTGTAGAATTAATGAAGGTATTGTAAAGTTTAGTCTGTTATAAACCTTTTTTCTAGTGAGACAAGCAATTTTGTCCATATAATATTTGTGTTACCCAGATTAGGATTGTTATCCCCATTAGAATGTATTTTTTTTTTTATGTTCATGTTAGAGAAGCTTTAACGGAAATGTTCACAAACCGCTTGAGTGACAAGCTTAGCCATCACTGCTCAAGTATGTACCATGTCAGAATGACATATACAGTCTAGACCCCTAATTTTACCCCAAAAAACTGGGAAAACTTATTGACTCGAGTAAATTACTAGGGTGGGAAATGCAGCAGCTACTGGTAAATTACTAAATAAAATTAGATCCCCCCCCAAAATTATATTAATTGAATATTATTTACGGTGTGTATATAATGAATGCAGTGTGTGTATAGAATGCAGTGTGTGTGTGTGTGAGTGCAGTGTGTGATGCAGAGCCTTGGTGGGGGAGTGGGCATTTTTTAATTTTTTTTATTATATATAATATAATATTAATATTTTTTTTATTTATATTTATTTTCATTCCCCCTCCCTGCTTGTTAGCTGGCCAGGGAGGGGGGCTCTCATTCCCTGGTGGTCCAGTGGATGGGCTGTGTAGGAGGGGGGCTGGCAGCGAGCTGTAACTTACCTTTCCTGCAGCTCCTGTCAGCTCCCTTCTCTCTCCTCCGTTCCGGTCAGCTCCCTTCTCCACTGTAAGTCTCGCGGCTGCGCGGAGCGTTCCCCGTTGCTCTCGTGAGATTTACAGTGGAGCTGACAGGGGAGCTGACCGGACCGGAGGAGAGAGAAGGGAGCTGACAGGAGCTGCAGGAAAGGTAAGTTACAGCTCTCTGCCAGCCCCCAACAGGACTGCCGGGCTTGTAATGAGCCCGGCGGTCTTGGTCTGTATTATGGCAATGTAAATTGCCATAGTGCAGACATTAACTAGAGTATAAGTTGAGTGGGGGTTTTTCAGCACGAAAAATGTGCTGAAAAACTCGACTTATACTCGAATATATACGGTAGTTGTAATTTCTGCTGTTTTTTTATTTTTTTGCAGCGAGCCAAAAAACCTTCCCATGAGCTGGTTCAAAGCCTTATTTCCACCAATGTCACCATTGATTCAAAGATGTCTACTAGCAAAGTATCTCTTTTTACAAACTCCAAACCCTTGGCTGTGGAGGATGTTGAAAAGAAAGCGTAAGTCCCTTAATTTGTACTATCATGCTTATGTTAGTGACCTGTAATAGCATATTTATTATTACTGCTTTTAATTCTATTAATATTCATTTTGTTTCCATGGATGTTTTCATCCTTCTGTCTCCATCAGGTTTGTGATGCCAACAGAAGAAAAAGTATTGGAGGATGGCCGAATTAGGCGAAAAGCAGTCTTTAAAGATGGAGAATCTGGAGAAAATGATGAGGAGGAGGAGGAGGATGGGGAGGAGGATGGTGAGGATGGTGAGGAGGAGGAGGAGGATGGTGAGGATGAGGAAGAGGGAACAGATAATGATGACAATGAAGAAGATAATGAGGTTTCAGAACACACGGAAGAGGACCTAGGAGAAAGTGAAGAAGAAGATACACCTGCAAAACTGTCCCCAGGTCCAAGAGCTTCTAAACGACCTAAAATAGAGAAACATGTTGTAAAGCCCACTGTGGAGATGCCTGCTTTTGCAGATAGTGATGATGATCTGGAGCATAGTGATGATGAAGAAGAGGGAAGTGAAGAGGAGGAGGTTGATAGTGAAAGTGAGGAAGATAATTCAGTTAGTGAAGGAGAGAGTGAAGAGAATACTATACAGAGGAAATGTAGCACAAAAAAGGCAAGAAAGCTCACTGATAAGAAATCTGCTCAAGCACTGGACAGTGGGAATTGCACCGGAGAGGATGCAGTGTCGTCTTCTGAAGATGCAGAGCAAATGGACACAGATGACACGGCTTCTGAAGAGGAACAGGCTGATGACAGTGAACCTGGGGACACTAGTGAAGAAGAAAGTGGTGGTGAGGAAGATTTGCTAAAAGATGAGGATGAGGACTTGGATGAAGGTGGCGACATATCTTCTGATACAGTCGGTGAGTTCTTTGCCTAACACCCATTTCTCTAAAGAGGGGATGTTTATGTATTTTAGTAGTATAGACAAAATAATGCCTCTTAATGAGAATAAAAAAATTTGAACATTTTCAACTATTTTCCAGGTGCACTTAAGTGGAAAGAAGATCTGAAAAAAAAAGCAGCAGAAGTTTTCCTCCGACAGCAGTCCACCCCTAATATCCGCAAACTTGTATATGGCACAGGTATGTGTTTAAGTGTATTCATCTAGGCTTTGTAGATTTGGAATAAGTAAATATGGACTAGGTTAAGGAAAGGACTCTTAAACACCTCTAACTATTTAGTTACGTTTTATTGGGGAATGTGGAAATGTGCAAAATCTTTGAAATAAAAATGTCAATTCCATTCTGTAACAGATCGTACTAAAAGTCCAACACATTTTCCTGGTTAGAGCTGCCATGATAGGTACCTGACATAGAAATGTAAAATAACTCAGTCCATTTGTATTTAAGTACCATAGTAATGGTTTGTTTTTTCTTACAGTGGCTGAAGAGGAAGAAGAAAAGGAACGTGGAGATGATGCGCTGGGAGGTTTATTTCATGTCAATCGTCCTGACAAAGAATCCAGAAGAGCTGCTAATGCACTTGACTGCTCCAAATTTGTGGCTGACAGTACCCAGGACTGGGATCTAGAAGAGGTATCACAGCTAAGAAATTGTTGACTGTCAGATTTATTATAACTGCAATGTAAAGAAAAATAGTCCACTTCAATACATTTCCTGTCCTTTTATTCAGGTGCACAGTAGATGAATATAACCATATCCAATATTACAAGATCCATGTTATTGATGCCTAGTGGAGTCTGTTGAAGCCCAGTACATGACCACCTTCTTCCATTCTGGCTAAAGCCATTAGAATATGTTAAAAGAATGCTCCAGTGCCCAATTACAAAAATATAAAATCCCCTTTTAGCAAATATACCCCCAGTGAAACCATGCCTGTATTTAATTGTTTTTTTTGATTGGTGGTATATGTGGATCTGCTGCCCTTGCAGGCTATCCTATGTCCAATCACAGACTTTTCAATACAGCTTTATGAAAAGTCTTTGCAAGGCAGGTGCTCTGGGCAATTATCTGTCTCTTGAGTTTTGCTCTACTTAGCAAAAGTACCCGTATGTAACGGGACTGGTTATTTGAAAGCCTGAGGGGTGTTAATTTAATGAAAACAAAAGAGAGAACACACTGTTCACACACAAAACAGTTGAGCAAGCTAAAGTGATTTAGTTGTTTGGAGTGTTCACTTAAGTCTGTGTATGTTGCCATGTATACATAGAGCTTTATAATGCAACTCTCTTTCCCCAAGACTTTATCTTTAGAACCAACCTGATCGGTATGGAGACAGTGGCACAGTAACATATAGAAATAGGGAAAAAGAATCTAAACATTCTTACCAAATGGTTCTTGGAAGGTGGGATCTCTCCCCACCAAAAACCAAACACTAAGACAGATATCTACAATCAGAGGTGGCATAATAGTAATTTCTTTGTTGTAGTAAAACATGAAAAGTTCACATGTAGGGGCATTGCACAGGGTGAGAGGGAGTGCCTTATCAGCACAAAACGCGTTAAGCGTCTTTACTGTGGGGATCTCCTTCCCCTCTGCACCATGAGAACTTTTATGGTCTACTTTTGATTTATTACAATAAAGGTACACGTTTTTACTCCTCCTGACTCTGTGTACCTGTCCTTCAATCCAAAGCAGAGTCCAGGCACTCAAGTTGTTGTATTAGTAGGAGATTTACTAGAACAGAGCTACAGGCAATTTTCAACTCCATAATGGAGTCTTTATCAAGTCACAAAGTCCCCAACCAAAAATATATATTTATATAATTCAAAGTGTTAGAGTGTTCTGTTGTATCGGACACTCCGCTAAGAGAAAGTGGAAATGACGTATTGTCAAAACCACGTTCCAGAAGTCAGAAGCCAGACTGCAAAAACCGCCACATCGATCGCAACCCATGACTACATACAAAAGCCCTGGTAACTGTCTAGACATGTTTGAATGCAGTTGTGCAACTTTCAAGTCCAAACAAAAATGAAAACAACATATAATCAATCCAGAAACATAAAGTGACATTTTCATACAGTTTTGTTTTTATGTGCCTCGTATAGGTCATGGACTGCATCAGAGATTGCTTTGTCACCGGAAAATGGGAAGCAGACAAAGATGCTGAAAAACTGCTGCAAGAAGATGGTGAGTGTGTGTGTTAAAGAGGAATGACAGTTTGTTAAATATTTTGTGATCATTATCAAAACCTTGTTACCGGGTGGTTGGGTACACTTTAAAAAAAAAACAAAAAAACCCCGACATATTACACAAATAGATGACAGCACCACAAATCTAAAGGAACTGTACACGCACACTGCTTCAATGTGTATTAACCAGTCCTATGAATGTAGATTTGTCGTTTGGCTTATTTGACACCGTAAGTAATTTACACAATGACTTTTTGTCAGAACATGAATACATAGCAATAAAGGATTTGGAGGTCCGTGACTAAAATGGGGATTTGTTAATGAATGATATAAAGGAATTTAATGACATAAATGCCTATACTGGGGGATATTTTTTTTTTTTTTCATTTTCTTTCAACTAAGCTGTGATTTTGTATTTGTTGCAATTTATTGTTTTTGTTTGTAAACCCCTTTTGTCAGACATGGCTGTCTAAATGTATTTGGTTTACCTTTTTGCTAAAATAATGTTGGTCATAGCGAACAGTGAAATATCAACACATTACAAGACGTACAACTGAAAAATTGTGTCTTTGGTTGTTGCCCTGAATAAATCTGAACATTTACAATCCTAGCCAATAATCTTCTTACATAATTCCAGAGGAGGTTTATGGAGATTTTGAAGATTTGGAGACCGGGAAGGTGCACAAAGGCAAGCCTGAATCGGAAGAAGACGACGAGGTATGTGTGAAAACACTTTGCATCTATTCCTCTACAGCAGCAAACGACCAAATCCATTCCTGCTGTTCGATAATATGAACAATAAGAATGTCACAGCCTTCAAATATGAGTAACCTAAAGTTTAGAGGACTGACATGCAGGACAGGCTCTTACACAGAGTGTGTGTGTGTGTGTGTGTGTGTGTGTGTGTGTGTGTGTGTGTGTATATATATATATACGCACGCACGCTCTTCACCTTCCCCCACCCCCCTCCAAAAACAGATACATTAAGATTGTACCAATAATAACACAGAACTCTGAGACAGAGGGGTAAATCCTTATGGCTGTGCCCCTTCCTGGTCAGATTGTGTGAAAGCTACAGTCAAAAAGAAACTAGCTGACAACGATTAAGGGGAGATGACTAATCTCATAAATCCCAGCCAGCCAGATAATGTTGGGGACAGTATAGCTAAGTTTTTAGCACATATTCAGAAAAAAGAGCTTGTACAAAACTGAAAAAAAAAAGGAGAGAACCTCCAGAAACCAAAAAAATCAAGACTGTATCAATAATACCATGAAACTATATTAGACAGAGGGGCAAATGCTTACGCCAATGCCCCCTGTTGTTGGTCAGATTATATGAAAGCTACAGTTAGACTAACAATTAAAAATGTAAAAATGAAAGTGAAAATATCAAAATTTTGACATTTTGTTTGATTTTAGAAAAATTGATCATGGTATATAAAAAAAACAAACACCAAAAAGGATTTGCTGTGCATACATAATAGATGAATGTCTAGGTTACTCATTGTACTCTTATAGCAATAGAAAGTGTAACTACAAAAATGCTTATAATGAGTATTTCTCATTCAAGCCTTTGGGCAATACGGTATCCAAAGTTCTGATCGAGAATAGTTCCCTTTGTAATAGTAGTCGCTTGCGGTCAGCACCACATCGAATTGGAGGGATGTGGTCAATTGCTCTGATTTTCAAAGTCAGTATTCGATGTTTCAGTTCCAGAAAGCATTTAGCTACAGGTAGTTTTGAACTTTGGTCCCTGTAAGCAATTCTGATACTTGAACAGTGATTTCTGATCCTTTCTCGTAGTGGGAGATCTGTTTTGCCTACTTAAACTAAGCTACAGGGGCATATGAGTTTTATACACCACGTAATCCCTGGTGCAAGTCAGTCTGTCTAAAAGTGAATTATCTGCCAGTATGTGGATGGGAAAATGTTTTTGCTGGGTGTTATTGGTCTAAAAGTAATGCAACCTAAACATCTGTAGCAGCCCACATTGTGAAATCATTTTTTGTTTAGATATAACAATGTATGGGATAGGTTTACACCAGCAAGTCTATTAAATTCTCACCCCTCCGGTAACACATCATGGGTTGTTCATGGAATTGTTTTGGCAGTTTGGTGTTGTTTTTAAGTCTTCGCCAATTCTTGTCAGTCGTCTTCTTGAATTGTTGGAGTAAGTAGTAGGAAAGACCAAATGATTAGTATTCTTAATTGAAGATTGAGTTACTATATTGCATTTCTCTAAAGCTCATTGAAGCACCTTGTTACTGTACCCCCTGGCCTTAAACTTCTCCCACATCTCTTACATTAGTAGGATTAGAGTTCTTCCTTATGACGATGAGATATTGCCAGTATGGGAGTGAAACTTTAAAGGACCACTATAGGAAACCAGACCACTTCAGCTCAATGAAGTGGTCTGGGTGCCAGGTATCCCGGTAGTTTTAACCCTGCAGCTGAAAACATAACAGTTTCATAGAAACTGCTATGTTTACACTGCAGGGTTAATCCAGCCTCTAGTGGATGTCTCCCTGACAGCCACTAGAGAATGATTACGTGATATACATGGACTAAATTGCACTTATTTGACGCTGGACGTCCTCATGGAGTCCAGTGCCAAAAAAGATCCCCGTAGGAAAGCAATGAGTAATGCTTTCCTATGGGTAGGTTTGAATGCGCGACCCCCTCTGGCCGCGCATGCGCCTTCGGCTCCACTTGAGAGTTGATGTCGATGGAGGAGCTCAGCGCTGGAATAAGGTAAGCAAATAAATGGTTACTTAACCATTTATTCGCCGCGGAAAGGCATCAGTATATGGGATTCCCCAAATATATACATGTTTCCATTAGCGTACAGGGGGTGTCTTAGCAAGGAATAATAGCAGAGTAGTGTGAGGAATTATTCAAAACTGTGGGCATAGCCTCAATCCCTTCATTGTGGGGAATGATTGTATATAGACTTTTTACGTCACAGGTGAAAAATAGGACAAAGTGTCTGGTAATATAAGCCCTCTGTGAAGAACCAATTGGGGGTGTCTTTAATGCACGATTCTCAGCTGAGACTATAGATCTCCCCGGTGGTTTTGTGCAGTGTTTATGGATCTTGGGTAGAATGTATATACTAGGAGACCTTGGATTTTATTTGATTTTAGAAGATCTTGATAGAGGTCCTGTGTGATGTAGTCAGCATCTAGGCCTTGTTGTAAAGTGGTCTGAAAGTTGTGTATCATGTCAGAGGGTAGGTTTATTTGGGATAATAGTTCATTCTGGTAATCCTCATAATTAAGAACAATTCCCCCACCTTTGTCTGCTGGTCTAATTACCGTTTTTGGATCTTTTGCCAAATTCTCGATGATAGATCTTTCTTTCTTTGATATGTTTGTGAAAAAGTTTACTTTGTTGTTCAAGTATGTGGCTGACTCATGTTTCACTGCTCTCAGGAATGTTATAAGAGAAGATTGAGAAAAATAAAGTTGACCCACTACCGAATCAATCTGAACTATTAAATCACTTTATATCAGCCTTAATATTCATAAAATATTATCTAGGTGCTTAGATGCCCCTGTACTTTGCCTCTGTGCTTCGTCAAATGTAATAACCAAAGTATGAAAAATGCATCAACCAGGCAATTAGGGATTTTTTTTTATATATATATATATATATATATATATATATATATATATATATTTTTTTTTTTTTAATACATTTGTAGAATTCTGTACGTGCTTGCACAATTTCTATTTCCTTATGTATTCTTAAACAGTTTGACTAGTTGTTCTGAGTGGGCTTCAGGGCACTCCTGGCATAATAACCATTACAGGGAACTGTGGTGGTTATGGTGCGTGGGGTGTTCCTTTAAAGCTCAGGCTTATTTATCAAGTGATCATGTATAAAGCTGGTTTTGTTTTAAATTCATTTCAAACAAATCACAGAATTCTCTTGCAGACGGTTTTCCTGTTTGAATTTTTTTCAGTTCTCTCTGCCTTAACTAGGAATAATTTATATTTTATCTTTCCATTTTAAAATATTTAGAATGAAGATGAGAATGAAGGTAAAGGGGTGGAAGCACCAGCAGACGAAGATGAGCACAAGAAGCGTCTGGATAAGAAGCGAAAGCTGAAAGAAAGATTTGACATGCAGTATGACGGTGGGGATGATGATGCCACGTACTTTGATGACCTCAAGGGAGAGATGCAAAAGCAGGCAGAGGTCAGCATTAATAGAACACCCAACAGTAAATGATACTTTTCACGAATACATACCCTTTCTACTATACTTGTACAAATAGTCCTCACTAATAACTGAAACCTCTTTATGAAATGATTTGTTGCATAAGCATAGTACAGAAAGAACTTTAATGAAAAAGCAAAGAGAGAGTGTCAGGCTGGAGTGTGGCGTAACCCCTAAATAACACACCTTACAAACCAAAAAAGAGAGAAAAATGGAAAGAACCAGGCCTACGGTATATAAAACATAACTTTCAAATATAAATATAAAACATAATAAATGGGAGTTTCGGGTACAGTCCTAAAGGTATCTATCGGAAAAGAATCTACATATATTATGGGAAAGTGTATATCAAAGGACTAATCAGTAGATAAGACCCTATAAGCAGTAGAAGACATAAAGGTGAAAGATGGACAAAAAGAAAATATTAAATGTTTTCTAATAATATACATCATAGAATGTTTGTTTTTCTGTCAATGCTAGGGTCTCCTTTGACTGTACTGAGACATTCCAATGCAGAATGCAGGGTTCCATTTGGAACCACAATCAATTTGACCTTATTTTGTAAAATAAAGCTTAACTGCAAAATAGATATTGAGATTTTTAGAATGACCCAATTGGATTTTCTTTCTCATATTCCCCTCCCCCCACCATTTTGGTTTATATATTGTTATGGTTTTCCTCATTTTGCCCACACTTGTTTTTTTTTATTGTGAATTACAAAAAGAAACCATGGGGTTCCTTATTTTGTGCTGCTGGATTTGCTATGAAACATCTGTCGGAATCCAAAATCACCTTACAAAGATGGACAGAGCTTTGTTGTAATAAACCAAGAAAAGCTGATGAATGAGGATGTGGTATGACGGGTACAGCATGATGTACAATTCTCACCATCTAGACAGAAAATTTATATAAAAATTTAAAACCAGTTCCTAAATAATTTAATGGAGTTTAAAGGAGGTTAGTCACAGGCCTGTTGACCGTTCTGCTTTCAATCTTTGTGTTTTTTATTCGAAACATTTATAGTTGAACCGTGCAGAATTTGAAGACCAGGAAGATGAAATCCGTGTGCAGTATGAGGGATACCGGCCAGGCATGTACCTCCGACTTGAAATCGAAAGTGTTCCCTGCGAGTTTGTGATCAACTTTGACCCCCACTACCCAATGATCCTCGGTGGGCTGGGCAACAGTGAAGGGAACGTTGGATACATCCAGGTCAGAAAAATGAAAGTGGAAAAAAGTTTTTAAGAATGTATTTGAATGAATATGAATTGAGTGAATAGGTAAAATGGTAATATTGTAGTACAGAAATGAGAAAGCAGGAAGAACCTGCCTTATGGATTCATCCTGCTACTTTTAAACACTTCAGAGTCTTGCTCTAGAGCAGGGATAGGCAACCTTCGGCACTCCAGCTATTGTGGACTACATCCCCCATAATGCTCTTACACCCATAATGCTGGCAAAGCATCATGGGAGGTGTAGTCCAAAACATCTGGAGTGCCGATGGTTGCCCTATGCCTGCTCTAGAGTATTCTGTTTAACCCCATCCTTGTGTAAACATCATTAAAACATACTGTTCCTTGAATGTAATGATTCCACTGTGGTATATGTGACTGTTTAGCTTTTATGTGATGTTAGTCACTTCTAAGAACTTGTTTTCATTTTTTTTAAATAAATGAGAAGAAAATAAAAAATATTGACCAGATTGGCATCAAATCTGCAGAAAACATCAAACCTATATGAAGATGTAGATACCAACTGAATTGTGAACATCTTTATTTTGCAGTTATAAGTTCTGGATTTCCTACGCTTTCTGGTCCTGTCTAAAAAGTTAGATATGACATTACTATATTTTGATATAGAAATGTCATCTAGTGTATGCATTGTATTTTAATCAACTGCTCACAAGGTGCTTAGGGTGGTCTATTTTGGCAGAAGACTTGATTGCAAGGGGTTACGTTTTATTTTTTGTAAGGAAGTTGTTGGTCTAGTCAATATAATTCCTCTTTATTTACCTTACCCTATTCAGTATTGTCTGTTTGTTTTAATTAGTGTTTTTAGCAAATAGACTCATCCAAGAATAGCGGTATACAAAGATTAAAAACTGATTCCACTGAGGTTTCACTGTTTATTTTAGTCTTCCATCCTACTAATACAATAATATAATCAACTTGTTTGTATCTCACACCAGTACTAAATACCATTGTATATACTCTTTTAACCCCCTAAGGACCAAGCTTCTGGAATAAAAGGGAATCATCAATAAAAGGGGAAAGTGGTTAAAACTTACCTCTTTCCAGCGCTGGGCGGAGAGCTCTCCTCTTCTCCTCCCCGTCGGCTGAATGCGCACGTGCGGCAAGAGCTGCGCGCGCATTCAGCCGGTCACATGGGAAAGCATTCATAATGCTTTCCTATGGACGCTGGTGTGCTCTCACTGTGAAAATCACAGTGAGAAGCACGCAAGCGCCTCTAGTGTCTGTCAATGAGACAGCCACTAGAGGAAATAGGGGAAGGCTTAACCCATTCATAAACATAGCAGTTTCTCTGAAACTGCTATGTTTATGAAAAAATGGGTTAACCCTAGCTGGACCTGGCACCCAGACCACTTCATTAAGCTGAAGTGGTCTGGGTGCCTAGAGTGGTCCTTTAATATTTTAAAATGTACAAATACAAAAAGAAAGAGTCAGACTAAAAATAAGAATTTACTATTATAAGATTTACCCCCCTGGAGAAAATATACAAAAAAGAGAAAGTATGACGGAGCAAAACATTTATTAAACTGTACCTTTTATTAGAAATACTAAAATAGACAACTAGTAGTCAATTTATATGTCAAACACCCATTATTAAATATTATATTGGGAATACTATGAAAATCTATAAACTAAATAAATGAACATCTCAAAAGAGCTTTTGAAAAATAGTTCTCTTTGTAGTGTAAAATTTAAAGTGGGCACTACCAAATTCTAAACTTCTTGCAAGGTAACAAGAATATGGAATTTACTGGGATGAAGTAGTGAAGATCAGTTACTTTTACAAAGACATATATAGTGTATAGTACCCTCCAATAATTCCACACACCGGCTAACACTGAAAATACCGTAGAATACAATAAAACTGACATTGTGGATTACCTCAAAATCTAGGATAGTACAAAGGTAACTTAAGCTTTCATATAAAGAGCAGGAACAATGAAGTGTAATAGTGATGATGGTTAGATAAAAAGTACTTTAATCACTACAAATAGAAAAATAACATGCATAGTATAATACCACAAAGACAAAAGAAGGCAAATGAAGCCCTTAAAAGCAGTCTCAATATAATGTCCACCTTTTCATTTTGGTACTTTTAGAAATATGTCAGTTCCACTTTAACCTAGTAATACTTCGAGTTCCGATTCTTCATACGGAATACTGTGCTTATATTCTGTTTCATGTATGTCACTGTACGTAACTAAGGCATATCTGAGCATTGCTGTTTATGGCACACAGATGCGCTTGAAAAAGCACCGCTGGCACAAGAGGATCTTGAAGACAAGAGACCCACTAATCTTCTCACTGGGCTGGAGGCGTTTCCAGACCATCCCGCTTTATCACATTGAAGATCACAATGGGCGACACAGGCTTCTGAAATATACTCCAGAGCATATGCACTGTGGGGCCACAATATGGGGTGAGTCACGAAAATCCTTATTTAAAAGGCAAACAATGTCTCATTGGACTTTTTTTAAAACTTTTTTTAATTCTTTATTTTGGTGTGCATGGTGATTAGTACATACAAGCTCTTGGTGCTCCAACAGCAATCCTCAAGCATTTTGTCCAGCATTACATTAAGAGCAGTAGGATAATGAGCACATTTTTATATATTAACAGATTCACAACAGGAACATTCCATCAGATTGCATATAGGGTCTGGTTAGTGGCCATTTAGTCACAAGCAGTTACCGCCCTGTTGTCTAAGATACGTAAGCATTTTCTGGCAGCTGAAGTAAGTAGGATGGCTCGTTTAACCGCTATTGCCTCTGGCTTCGTATAGTTAGGCGTGAAGTATATGAACATGCAAGCAATACATGCCAAGCTTACTGGTAAGCTAAGGAAACTTATAAGAGTTAAACAAGATGAGTTTAACACTCCACTGGTTCCTATACATATACATCAGGTTTGGGAACAGTGAGGGACAACATCTACGCATGTTCAGTTGCCTGAGTTAACAGAGAATAATCAGCGGAGAGGCGAAGTGGTTTGTTATAGGTGTCTGTCTATACTGCCTCTATGGAAAGTGTGAGTAAGAATATACAGTTAGGTGCATGCTGGGCTGATTAAAGAAAGGTGGAGTATATCTCTGGTCTGAGTGAGCAAAAATAAGCTGTTGCATGGCGTGCCTAACTTAACCCCTTAAGGACACGTGACATGTCATGATTCCCTTTTATTCCAGAAGTTTGGTCCTTAAGGGTTCTCGGTGGCTTGGAGGCAACACTAAAGGATTAAAAAAAATAAAATAAAAGAAAGCATCAAACATGTGTGAATGCACTTTAAGTCTTTCCACCCCAGATGACCCCCATACCAGCAAGATGACAGTCAATGGTTTTGTGCCAGGAGACCCGCTTGGGTAATATAATAATGGTAGAAGGACAGGAGCCCGGGAACCGCTGTGTTGGTTGTAGTGAGAGTCCCCATATAGTGAGCTTGCGGTTCCGTCAAGCATTAGAACTTATTTTATTAGATTTCTTTATGGGGTTAAAGGAAAACTCCAAGAACTATAACTAATAGAGATAAGGTAGATTCTGTTATGGGCGTCCATTCATTGGCAAAGATGAATCAGCTGGGCTCTCTCAGCTACTGAATTAGTTAAATGAGTAGCTGCACAAAACAAACTGACTTTTCGTATATCCAGCTCTGAGAACACGATATGCAGTGCAGGTGCCCGGTAGGACCCAATAGCTGTCAAACCGTGCTGAAATGGTTTGACAGGATACACTTGGATGGGACTAAAGTACTCCTGACTGCATAGCCACTGCATTGTCGTAGTTATGATTTTGCAGTGTTCATTTTACATTAAAAAGCTTAGTTACATGTTTTTTACGTTTTATTTTGTTTGGAAAATGTATATATTAAGATTAGGGACAGGCAACCCTATTGTTCTTGTTAATTCTTATTATACACATTGGCATAGACATAAGGTAAGAGGGCTGTTTACCTTCAAGTTGAGTCTGCCTAAATCTTGAAAAACAAAAAAAACCCTGTGAATTGTAGTGAGCAATTTCTTTGGCATTAAAAAAAATAAAGCTTTCTTATACCCTACAATAAGTGGTTAATCAAAGTGCTCGCTAAGCACCAAGGCAGTAAAGTTTCTGTGCAGTGGTTATGGTGCTAGGAGTCCTTGTGCTGTCTTTTGGGTTTGAGTAACAGTGATAGGATGTGGGTGCTTGGCTGAGCTGCCTCCATTGCTCACAACAGATCTTCTCTGTCAAAAACTTGGACAGATTGTATGTATACTACAGAAGAAATAAGAAAAGCATACATGTGCATTATCCACATGTTTTGTTAAAGGGACACTCCACACTCCACTGCCCCAATTTTTTTTTTTAAATCACTTTTTAGTAGATATAACTACATGCCTGCTTTTAATTGCAAGCGCTTCCCTTTTTCCTAAGCCCAGCCTTTCTGTGGCAACTGCTGTCTCTTGAAATTGGCGCCACTGAGCTAAACAAACCAGGAAGTAACCGGACCAGTTGCCTGACAGCCAGGAGTTGTAACAAGGTTAATTTAGAAGTTGCCAGTTTCTATTGAAATCTGCATTTATTATAAAATTAAAAAAGAAGGCACACTCTTCACACATAAAGCACTTCGGTGCGCTTTAGTGGATTAGGGGCCTGGAGTATTCCTCTAAACCACTCAAATGGATTTATGAAAAAGGAAGGGACTGCACCCAAAGATCCCTTAGTCCAGGGGTAGGCAACCGTCATCACTCCAGATGTTGTTGTCTACATCTCCCTTGATCGTTTCCTAGCATTATGGCCACAAGAGCATCATGGGAGATGTAGTCCATAACATCTGGAGTGCTGAAGGATGCCTACCCCCGCATTACACTGTAAAAAAAAACTCTAGTCTCTGGTGTTTAGAGGGTTCTTTAAACATTTCGGTTTGAGCAATTGGTGATTCTCCATGAGTTTTGCAAAACCTGCATTAGTGCCCTTCGCACTGTGGAACACTGATACCTTAATGTATAATGAAGAGCTCAATGTAAGTTTAATTTCTGTTCTGCATCGGTTCAGGAATTGAGGCCCCCAAAATTGCATCTCATTCATTACTTTCTTGATACAGTTATCAGAATCTTTGGTTTTCTACAGGTCCAATCACTCCACAAGGAACTGGCTGCCTGGCTGTTCAGTCTGTTAGTGGCACTAAGGTGAGTTATGTGCTGCACTATATGGATCTGTAAACTTTGTTGAAATGCTCCTAGCTTAATTGAAATTATTATTTCAAGCATTAGGGAAAAAAAAAGTAATTGTACAGAAAATGTTTAATGTAGGGATCGACCCATATTAATTTCTTTAGAGCCGATACCGATAATCTGTGAACTTTCAGGCCGATAGCCAATAACTTACCGATACCGATATTCTGTACATTTACCATTTTAGAAAAAAATAAACTATTTCTACAAATCTACTGTTAACTGGACATGTTTCTTTTTTTACTAATTTTATTGTTATTAAGGTAAATGCACAAAATATACATGCCAGTCAGAATGTTTTATGTTTTCAAGAATATAGTGTAGTGGATGCAGTGAGAGTATTTAATTAGTGAATGCAGTGTGTGTGTTTGTGTATTGTGTATTGTTTGTATAGTGGATGCAGTGAGTGTGTTTGTGTATTGTTTGTATAGTGGATGCAGTGAGTGTGTTTGTGTATTTGTATAGTGGATGCAGTGAGTGTGTGTTTGTGTAGTGTGTGTAGTGAATGCAGTGTGTTTGTGTAGTATGTGTGTGTCTGTATAATGATTACAGTGTGTGTTTGTGCAGTGTGTGTGTGTGTAATGTATGTATAGTGAATGCAGTGTGTGTATATAATGGATGCAGAGTGTGTGTTTGTGTAGTGAGTGTTTGTGTCGGTATGTAATGTGGCATTTTTTTATTTTTGTAACTTTATTTTTTAAATATTTAATTGTTTTACCTTTTGTTTTAGTCCCCCCTCCCTGTTTCTTATTTGGCCAGGGAGGGGGGATATGGCATTCACTGGGGACCCGCAGCGTTCCTGGGGGGCCCAGCACACTCTTACTACTTTTCTCAGCAGTTCCCCCGTCTAACCCTCGCAGCCTGTGTGCCGTGCGGAGCGTTGCCATGTTAACCTGTGGCAACGCTCTGACGGCCGTGGGACTCGCAAGAGTCAGACAGGGAAGCTGAAGGGTGCTGCTAGGAAGGTAAGTAAGAGTGTGCAGGGCCCCCCAGGACCCTGATGGCGGCCCTGGTCTGCATTATCGGCAATATCGGTATCTTTATTGGCCGAAACCGATATTGCTAAAAAATACAGAATATCGTCCGATAATATCGGCCAGACCAATAATCTGTCGATCCCTAGTCTAATGTAAAATTGTTATTTACTGTTTTGATATGTTAATAATTAAATAGTCCATAAATATAGTGCGTATGTGTGACATTCTGTTATTTATGAACTTCTTTCTTGACAAGCGAGGGGGTCACAAATCAAACACTCCATATTTTGTTACATAACATGTGCATTCAAAGCTTTTAAAGTTATGTGTGACTTTGTACATTCATTTAATATATCCAAATCTTTATTTTTCTAGATATATTAACATTATGTAGCATATGGATGCAGAGATGTTAATTTTGTGATCTGGGGTCGTGTTTACGGCTAGGATTTCAGAGACTTTAAAAAAAAATTACAAAAAAAAACAAACATTTTTGCACAGTAGGCTTTTTAGGTATGATAAAACTCTTAATAAAGCTGAGAAATCCAAATTTAATGCTATACCAATTCTTTCAATCTAATTACATGTACTCTTTTAGGCAGATTTCCGAATAGCAGCTACAGGAGTTGTTCTAGATCTGGACAAATCTGTGACTGTAGTTAAAAAGTTGAAGTTAATTGGATATCCCTGCAAAATCTACAAGAATACCTCCTTTATCAAGGTACTGCCTGTCTTTGGTTTTATATATTTTTTAAGTGCCGCTTGGTAGTATTTTGTTATATCACTGACTTCATCTCCTGCCATTTTGTCCTTCTCATAGGGAATGTTTAGCACTGCCTTGGAAGTGGCAAAGTTTGAGGGAGCCTCGGTAAGGACTGTCAGTGGGGTTCGGGGCCAGATTAAGAAGGCCTTGCGGACCCCAGAGGGTGCATTCCGAGCCACTTTCGAGGACAAGCTACTGATGAGTGGTGAGTCAAGATGTCCTGAAAAGCAAGAGCTATAACCCTGTTGTCCTAGACCACAACAGTAATTTTTAAGCCTGTATGACATAATTATAATAATTGTGACCATAACATGCTAAGTTTATTTTGAACAGTAAACCAAAAACAAGTACAATTTGTATTCTTTTTTTCTTTTTTCTTTTCAGACATTGTTTTCCTGAGATCCTGGTTTCCAGTTACGGTACCTACTTTTTATAACCCAGTAACCTCTCTGCTTAAACCTGTTGGCGAAAAGGAGAACTGGACTGGCATGAAGACGCTCGGGCAATTAAAACACGAGCTTGGTATCCGCCAGAAGCCACAGAAGGATTCTCTTTATAAGGTATTTTTATTTGTATACGAAGATTAAGTGAAATGTTCTTTATTGTGCATTAAGGTGTACTGAACAAGGTCTAGGCACAGGCAGAATAACTATGCATATTGCCATAATCAGACTGTGATCAAGTCTGAATTCAGCCTGATCTCAGTTAGTTCATTATCTGATTTTAGAAATTAAAGTAAAATCTTTCAGTTATGGAACGTGAAAATGCACTTCCTTCCCCAATGCGTTTCTCCCAGGGTTCTGCAGTCTAACAAATACTGTATATTTCCTCCATTACAATTTAGTTTTCTTCCTTGAAATATGCTGGTCAGCTCGACTCGATGTTTTTATTTTGATTACTTGAGATAGTTGATAAACGTTTAGCTATTTTACCCACCAAGCACAGTGTAGAGCAAAGGCTTGATAGGTTTCATTCTAAGTACAATAGATGAATCTTGCCGGCTGTCCTTAGAAGTATATGGTAATTTGCAATTTTGTTAGAGCGAAGGTTATGTGCTGCACCAGAGACTTATTAAATGTGTTACTGATCCAAGTATACAGGGCTTTAAGTGCCGCCCTACAATATAACTGGTGATTACATTATGTATTTGATGTCTACCTCTGCAATAATGTAATTAGACTAACACTGCCACCTTGTGGCTACATAGTATATGATTAATTTGTTTTCTTTTTTGATTAATTTACATACGTACAAAGTTAGCAAGTAACCTCTTATTTGAGAAAGCAAAAGAGGACAATTAACATAATGTTGATGGGATATTTGTTTTTGCAACACAGAGTTGTATATGATAACAGTAACAAAAAGCTATACTAATTAATTATTTTCTAGAATGGGGTGGCGGAGGCAGTTAGTTAGCTGTCATGTTGGCTATACTCTAGTGTAAGCTGCAAAACCTCATCTGAGCTCTGTTTTCTGTTTCTAAAAGGGTCCCTATTAGAGACTAAAGTTTCTCAGTAGATTGACTTATTATTAATGTTGAAGTATTTCCACCTGGCACTTAATATCTACCCATTTATCAATCATGTCTCTTTATTGGGTTATGACTAATATTTTATTTCCATATCTGTTCTAGCCCATCGTACGACAAGTAAGACACTTTAACCCAATTCACATCCCCAAATCGCTACAAAAAGCCTTACCGTTTAAAGCCAAGCCAAAATTTATGGAAAAGAAGGGGAAAGTGACCAGAGACCGTGTACGGCCAGCTGTGATACGCGAGCCACATGAAAGAAAGGTGAGTGCCATCAGCTTGAAAGCACGCCATATGAACTTTTTTTTTAAATATATATTACTACATTGCTTCTGTAGACTTAAAGGTTTATTGCAGTTTTGAGCCATAATAATAATACAACTAATAATACTATTTTAAAAAAAAGCCATATTCACTTTCCTAATTAGTCTGCTGGAGAAGTAGTAATGGGATGGAGAGCTAAAAGGTCCTCATTTTCCTGTCTGCTTCTTAATACTCCACGTCACATACACACTATTTGCTCCTTCTAGTTACAAAAAATCCCTGCACAAGCAGCACTCATTCAATCCAGGCACACACACACCAGCACTTATTAAACAATACACACTGAATTATTTAACACTGGTCACTTAACGCAGTTCATACTGTAAAGGGGATAAACAGGTTAACCATGCAATGGTAAAAGAACAGCAATGTTTTCAGCTGTAGGGTTGAAATGGGTGATGGTGGAGGTGGTGGGGGTGTATGGCACCCAGGCCATTTTATTGAGATGATGTGGAATGGGTGCCTGGGTCCCTAAGTGGTTGTTAAAAATTGAAGTTATTCTGTCATGATAGTTTCACCTTAACGGGTCTTCTATAGTACTTTAGAGTAAAGTTGCATCTCTTTCACAGCAGATGATAGCAGTTATAGGCAAAACTACATAGTCAATTGAAGGCAACCGGCAGATTACACATGCACCTCACTTGACATTTAAAGGGAAACTATAGTCACCAGAACCACTACAGCTTAATGTAGTGGTTCTGGTGTCTCTAGCATGTTCCTGCAGGCTCAGCAATGAAGATGTTGCCTTTTATTGCATGCGCAATAGCCTCCCAATATTTTCCTATGGGAAAGTATTGGATTGGCTGAGATCATTGAGATTGGGCCAGCTGCAGACAGGCTAGTGAAGCAATGGAGAAAAGGTAAGTTTAACACCTTTTTTATCTCTAAACTGGGGGCCGGGGAACTAGACTGCTACTCCAGCATTATAGCTAAAGTGTTAATTCATTTAGGAACATTGTTTTTCATCCATGGTGTTCTTCATTCTGTAGATCTCAGAACTTCTGTCAGCCTTGGGTACACTGAACAACTACAAGAAAACAAAAGCAAAGACAAAGCACAAGCAGCAACACAGGGAATTCTTGCAGAAGAAGCAGAAGGAAGAAGAGGAGAAATTAAAAAGACAGAAGGAAGCTAGAAAGAAGCTTTTCCGATCAATAGGGCAGAAAGAGAAGAAAAAGCAAAAATCGAGTCTCAAAGGCAGCAATGAACAAGATTGACAGACATACGTTTACAAACACTGCATGCAGACATAACGATGGTTGCCCTCTTGCCACATTGGTCATGTGTACTGTAGCTTCATACTATATGGTGTACTGTACAGTCTTGTATATTAATAATCAAATATCTTTTTATAATTTGATATATGGGATATTTGTAAATTCAGAATCCTGAAAGTGGAAGGATTCCTGTATAAATTATCAGAGGAGAAAAATAACTTTTAACGTGAAACGATATGGAATTATTTAGGTTAATAGATTGCATAGTGATGATCATATTTATAGGTTGATCAATTCGCAAAAATAAAAGTCTTACTTGAGTGGATATATCTGTTTGTTAAACTCTCCAGATATGTATGTACAGCTCTTTCATAAAAAAATACGTACTATCCTTAACCACAGAATGTTTTTTTTTTTTTTCTATATATTGGATATGTAAGTACATACATGATTTAGAAATAAAATGAAATTAAATAATATGGACTCAGTGATGTGTACTATGAAATACTGTTTTTAAATCCTGTCCTCATTTCAAAACCCCCTCTCCCTCCTTCCCCCTCCCCCCCCCACAACAGACCAGAATTTCAGATTTTCCCTACCATGGATGTATGTACAGTTGTCTCATATAAAATAATTTATTGGTAGATTCCAAGCACCATAACCAATGCAGCATGCTGTAGTGGGTATACTGTCAGAAGTGCCCTGGCACCCACCATTGTGAGTAAACGGTATTAGAATAGTTTGACAAGGGAAGGGCCAACTGGTAATCTGCCTAGTGTCCTGTGGATTATTTCTCCTTCTCATCATATAGTGTATTAACTTTTTCCCGACGTCAGGGCATGCAAAGGAGAGCTTTAGCGCAGTTAGGGCTGCATAGCACGCACTAATGATGGCCCTCCCTCCAGCCCAAATACCACCTGCACCAGTCGGGTTCGGGAAACCTACCCCACAACCCAGGCAGTCCACCTGCAGCCAATCTAGAGAATTTAATTTACAAGCACTGTATTTAACCCTGTAACTTTCCAAAACACCATGCAACATGTACATAGGGGTACTGTTATACTCGTGAGATATTGCTGAACACAAATAGTTTCAGAGCAGTAAACCGTATAATGACAATGATATTCGTGAATGTGCATTTTTTGAGTGAAAAATACAAATATGAACACTAACTTTGGTCTGGCTACTAAAAAAGACTGGACATATCCCATTTTGAATATCGTGGGTTGTAAAAGTGTGCCATGATGGGGTAATTTTCATCCTGGGCTCCAATATGGTCTCAAAGACAACATAGACCCAGCAAACCAATCTGCTAAATTCAAGTGTGTAAAAACTGAAATGGGCAGTATCTATTTGAACTTGTAACTTTTCAAAACACTATTAAATCTGATCATGGGGGGTGGGGTGGGGGGGCATCCATTGTACTTGTGGTACATCACAACCTACTAATCTGTGTATTTTATTGCAGTAAAAGCTGTCAGTATTATGACATCCACAGTTAAAATGCCATGCAGAACTTGGGAAATAACATTTCTTAATTTCTCAACCTTTTTTTAGGTTTTATTCATATAAAATAATGTTTCATTTTGAAATGTATGATGTGAAATGAAAAAAAACAATTTCACCGGAACAAAATGATTTGTAAGTGTGGGTGTTAATATGAAAGAGGTAAATTATGGTTGAACAGACATGTAGCTCAAATTCTAGGTTGTGTTTTGCCTCAGAACTTGGACATTTCTCCATCCTTTAGGGGTTAAAACGGTCTATTCCCTTGTGTTTATTTTTAATTCTGTTTTCTAATTATGGGCAGAATAAAAAAAACAAATCAAATTACTATTTCATGTTTATCTCCGTGCAGAGCTTGGAGGTTCTCTGCAAATCACATACTCTGGCTGTTGACATCACATTTAATCTGAAACTAGGGCTAAGCATGTGATATAATTTCAATATGGCTACCTCCACACTGACTGATCTTAAAATGGTAATTCTTGCTAAACTTTCTATAGCTTGGTTATAGATTCAAATCATATTTATTTGCATGAGTGCAGTTTGCTCACCATTTAGCTATAGTTTAGATTAGATAAGAGAATAAACATTTTATTATTACTGTACATGCAAAAGTGCAAATTAGTGACTTCCAAATAATGAAACCATCAAATTTTGTACGCATGTTTTTATACATATTTATTTTATTATTTATAAAGCGCCAGCAAATTCCATAGAGCTGGACAATGGGCGGAATAATAGACACGTAATTGTAACCAGACAAGATGGACACGTGAACAGAGGGGGTTGAGGGCCCTGCTCAGTGAGCTTACACGCTAGAAGGAGTGGGGTATAGTGACACAAAGTGTAAATGTAGGTGTAGAAAAGTAGGTTGCTACTGAGGGCTTAGTAGGTTTTTTTTGACAGTTGCAGGAGTAGAATCGGTGTGTGGGGAAGGAAACCTTTTAATTGTTACGCTTTCATGAAGAGTTTTCAATGATTTTTTGAAGGAATGGAAACTGGAAGAAAGTCTAATGGAGAAGTGAGTTCCATAGGAAAGGTGCAGCCCTGGAGAAGTCTTGAAGGTGAGCATCAGAGGTGGGAATACTGACAGAGGATAGATGTAGGTCTTCGGCAGAGCACAAGGGCCTTGACGGGACATCCTTGTGTATTAGGGAGCATAGATAGGTTGGAGCAGCATTATGTAGAGACTTGTAAGCAATCACCAGAGTCCTACATTGAGCCCACATCTTACAGGACTGATGTAGGGACTGACAGTGGGGGGAAGTGCGGGCAGACAGGAAGATGAGCCTCGTTGCCATAATCATTATAGATTGCAATGGTGCAAGCTGGAAACATGTAAGACCACTGAGAAGGGGATTACAGTAGTCAAGGCAAGAGAGAACAATGGCATGGACCAGCACTTTAGCTGCGTTCTGCGTTAAATAGGGGCAGATGCACGCTCTGTTTTTGAGATGGAAGCGGTAGGATTTAGTAATTGACTGGACATGAGGGGTGAAGGAGAGGTTGGAGTCAAAGAGAACAGCGAGCTTGCGAGGTAGTGGTGATAGTAGCGCTGTTGACTTGGAGGGAGAGAGACACGGGAGTAGCAACACTTGACTGAGGAAAGACCAGAAGTTCTGTTTTGGACAGGTTGAGTTTAAGAAAGTGAGTAGCCATCCAGTTGGAAATTGAATTGAGGCAGTCATAGACACGAGTCAAGATAGGCGGAGAAAGATCAGGAGAGGACAGGTAGATTTGCGTGTCATCTATATAGAAATGATAATGGTGCCAAAGGAGCTGATGAATTTACCAAGGGAGTCAGTATAGATCGAGAACAGTAAGGGACCAAGAACAGAACAGAGGGGAACACTAACAGACAGAGGTTGGGGAGAAGAGGCAGAGCCAGATAAAGAAACACTGAAAGAGCAATGGGAGAGATAGGAGGAGCACCAAGAGAAAGCAGTATCCCATAGACCAAGATTACTGAGAATGAGAATAAGCTGTCCATGATCAACAGTATCAAAAGCAGCAGAAAAGTCAAGGAGAATTAGGATAGAATAATGACCGTGAGATTTAGCAGCGATAAAACCGTTGGATACTTTGGTCACAGCTGTTTTGACAGAGTGCCAAGCTTGGAATCCAGACTGAAATGGATCAAGCAGAGAGTTGGATTCAAGGATGTCTGTCAATCTCGCATATACAACTCTCTCAAGGATCTTGGAGGCAAATGGCAGTAGCGAGATAGGACAGTAGTAGGATGAGGAATTGGGGTCAAGGTTGGGCTTTTTTGAAATCGGGGTTACGGTTGCATGTTTGAAGGGTGAAGAAATGTGCCACAAAAAAGGGAGAGATTTAAAGTATTTTTGAGAGGGAGGGCCAGAGAAGGAGACATAGTGCAAATAAGATATGAGTGAATAGGATCGTGGTAACAGGTGGTGGGGCGGGAGGACCAGAGCAGAGCAGAAACCTCTTCTGCTGCAATGCGTGCGTATAAGCCTAGAACAGCGAATGGAGTGAGGTTGGGGAAAGTATTGGCAGGGGAGGGAGATAGATAAGTGATCTCTTCCCTGATTGTTAAAATCTTCTCAGTGAAGTGAGCTGCCAAGTTTATGGTGGACAAGGTGGTAGGAGGAGGGGGAGCAACAGGGTGAAGAAGAGCATCAAAAGTGTGAAATAGGCATTTGGGTTTGCAGGACAGTATGCTTATGAGGGTATTGAAGTAGTCTACTTTTGAAGAAAAAAAGAGCAAAACTGTAGGAGCGCAGCATAAATTTATAGTGGAGGAAGTAAGACACAGAGTCAGCAGCGTTCAGCAGTTCTGGAACATTTTTTGAGGTAGCGGGTCAGCTTGTTGTGCCAGGGTTATAATTGGGAGCGGTTACTGTGTTTAAATGTAGAAGGTGCCACGATGTCTAGTTGAGAGGAGAATGGATTTGAAGAGTGAGATTGCAGAGTTAGGGCAGGCGAGATTTGAGATGGATGAAAGGAGAGTTTGGAGTTTGGTGGAGAATTGCTGGAGGTCAAGGCAGTGGAGGTTTCTGTGTGATTGGTGAGTTGAGGGTGGTGAAATATGGATATGTGGTATGCGGATGTCAAAGTTTAGCAGATATTGGTCAGACAAATGTAATGGAACACTGGAGAGATTAGAGGCAGTGGAGAGATTGGTGAAGATAAGATCAAAAGTGTTTCCTGCTGTATGAGTTGCTGAAGTCGACAACTGCGTGAGACCAAACAAGGAGGTTACAGAGACCAGGTTGGAGGTATCAGGGCAGTTGAGGTAGCTGATTGGGCTGTTAAAGTCCTCATGTATAAAAGAAGGAGTGCTAGAGGAGAGGAAGTAGGGTAGCCAGGAAGAAAAGTGTCAATAAATAGCCTAAGATGACCAGGGTAGTGATGATTGCAATTCTTAAAGGAGTGGGCTTAAACAGGTGGACTGTGCGAACTTCAATGGAAGTAAACGATAGGGCTGGGAGGATAGGTTGAAAGGTGTATTGAGGGGAGAGAATGATGCCTACACCGCCGGCCTTTATAGTTGAGTCTGGGAGTGTGGGAGAATTGTAGTCCACAGAAACATAAAGAAGCTGGAGTAACGCTATCAGAGGGGGAAAGCCAGATCTCAGTGAGGGCTTATAGTGTGAGGGAATTATAGATGTTGTTTATGGCTGTTGATTTCATTTTGCTACAGATGGAACGGGTTGGTTGAATGTTGGTAGAGGAGGATAAACTGAAGGGTATTGGTATGAGATTTGCGTGGTTTCTGGTTGTCTCAGTGTGAGCAGACAAGATGAAAGGTCATGGGTTGGGAGAGACATTACCAGCTGCTAGAAGTAGGAGGAGAGATAGTGACAGAAGGTGTGAATTGGTTTTATATGGGTAGGGTCTAGGACAGTGATGGCGAACCTATGGCACGCGTGCCACAGGTGGCACGCCGGGCCCTCTCTGTGGGCACGCGGCCATAGGTCGCTGGGAGAGGGGTCCGCTGGCTGTCTGCAGAGT